GCTACTGCTTAACCTGCCGAGTGAGAGTATCAGTTACACCAGGTGTACTGTGAATACCAACCAGTACGTCTCCAACCTCACCCACCACCTCATCTCAACTCCGCCTTTCAAAGAGTCATTCACTAACATACCTTCCTCCAGCTATCAATCCACACTCTCAATCTCCCAACTACACACACACACAACCGCAACCATGCAACAAAACGTCACCATCGCCGTGATAATCATCATCCTCTTCATTATCATCACCGCTCTCGCCTACGGCATCCACCGCCTCATCCACGCAGCTGGCGGCCAGGGCTCAAGCTCAAGCGGCAGCGACTCTCTCGTCGACGACGACTGATCAACTCGCCCCAGCTCCAAGAACGATGAGAAACGATGAATAGACGACACACGAAGCCTCTAGTTTTTCGAGGCTTCGAAACTGGTTGAACTGCCAATGTGCAGATGGGCAATGGGAATACTGATACTACAATGGGATGGATATTGGGATGGCATTGAATGAAGCGTTTTGATTTTTATTGTATAGCGAGCATATCGGCTGGCGTTCTGGGAATATATGAGCGGATTTTGTGGGCCAGTGACCCGGGAAGGGGCCTGGTTATGGCGAAGATTTGTTATGATTAGATAGATATGAGGTATATACCATGATCTTTATGGGATCCGAGGGCTGGATGGGTTGGAGGTAGATATCGGATGGGGAGCTGAAAATACGAATATCACTACACTCCATTATTGCTGTCTTTGCTGTCTTTGTCTAGTTTTATGAATGTGAATGCCAGGAATAACATGGAGAGGATTGCGTAAGATAACATGCTTGCCATTGAGAATTCATTATACAGTACTTGGGTATCTATCCTTACAAACTCCTCGCCACGCTCAGTAATATATCCCTTTTGCCAGCTCCAGCACGTCCATCGAAAGTGCATCCCATACTTCCTAAACACCCCATATAAACCAACCTCAATGCTTCGTCTTCGCAACCTTCTTCCCCTTCCCCTCAAACAAGCTCTTCACCTTCCTCAGCCTCGCCCACCTCTCCTTATCCTTCTCATCCCTCATCTTCTCATACTCCCCCTCATCCCGCGCATCTCCCTCCGTCTCAACATGCGTCGCCTCCCCACCAGCCGCAGCACCCTTCTCCCCCTTCCCCGCTTCATCTTGCTTCCGAACCTTATCCTCCCTCCCAATCGCCTCTCCCAGAATAGACCAGATTGGCTTTCCACCGGCTACACCACCATTCTGACTCCCAGCATTCACCCAGGGACAATACTCCTTATGGCATTCTAGCGGGTTAAGTGACGCCATAGCAGCTGCACGCTCTACTCCCGGACTTCCATCCGCAGGCTTACTTGTCTTAGGCCTGTACAACCACAGCCCCACGGTGCGGAAACAGACACGGCAGTCCGCAGATCCGAGTTTCGGAACATGTGCTGGTCGAGCTGTAAACCCGAAGAGGGCGAGTAGGAGAGCGACGCGGTTCAGCGGCGCTTCTTGTGATTCATTTGCCGGGAATGGGTGTGGGAGTTGTGCGATGATAGCGTCGAGGTCGTAGGCTGGTGGGAGGAGGAAGACGGATTCAGCCGGGAGGAGAGCGGCTATGGGGAGGAGGGAGTCGTAGCGTGACTTCAGAGCCTGGAAGGTGGTGGTGATGGGGTAGATTGGCTGTTTGAAGATAGAGTCGTCGCAGCCGCGTTTGCGCCATGGGCAGAGGACGTCGTGGGAGGTTATCATGAGGTCGGCGTATTTGTCTACTAATGCCTGTTCTGTATGTTGTTAGCTTTTGTTATTGCCTAGCAAATATCTGTGGGGAGAGGGGTGCATACCGATGTCACTCTCCATCCCAGCGAACTTAATAAGCTTCCCATTCTCATCCTCCTGTTTGTTCAGCTTGACCATGATCTCAACGCTACAGGTGACACAGCGCACGCGCTCAAGGCGCTGGCAGGCCCAGCCGCGCTTCGCCCATGCAACCTCGTTGACCTTTGGCGGCTTTGGCATCCAATCTGTCAAGTTGCGGAAAGTAGCCAGACGCTCGAGGAAGTCCTCGCGGTCGCCGGGGAGGAACGACGGTTTCGTGACGGGCTCATCGGTTCCACGCGCCTTTGCGGAGTTGGCAGCCGCGAACTTTAGATCGGTTTTAGACATCCTCGCGACTGCAGCTGTACGGGATGAGGTAGAGAGGTTGGGCGAGGAGGTTGAGGAGCGGGGGAAGGCGCCGTCGTAGGATGTTCGGGCCTGCTTGGTGGTGCGTGTGAGATCGTCGGAGGAGGAGCTGCCGATGCTGTTTAGCAGTGCATTGAACTTGCGCTTTGTGTTGTTCATGTCTGTGGATGAATCGTCCGAGCTGGCGGATGAGTTTGAATCGTCGAGCCAAAAGGAGGCGGTGTCTTCGAGCCAGATGGAGGAGGATTCATCAACCCAAAAGGGAACTGCTTCGATCTGGGTGATCAACTGCTGGAGCTCTTCTTGGAGAGACCAGCTTTTGCTGGGGTCAAAGGTCATTGTTGTCGGAGGTCCGGAGGAAGTTTATCCGTTGTTCTGGGTATTGGTGCACCTTAGAAAAGGAACGCCGATGTCGTTAGTGATGTAGTTTGTTTTGAAGTGACGTGGAAGAGATTCCTTATGTTTAATTGTAAACTTTTACTTTGTTAGAAGAATTTATGCTGTCCTCCAGTGCAAATCGAACCGCTTATAGATTTCTACCAAAGTCACTTATTATTTTTTCCCTCTTTGTCGTGACGCTGGCCTTCATAGCTAGATTCGTGCCCCGCATCTCCCTCCTCTCAGTTCACCTTGCCCCACTTCCACGCCTTCTATCAACAACAACGAAGATGGCAAACACATACGAGAAAGAGCGCCTGGTCGCCGAGCTTGCCGTTACAAGAGCTGCAATTCTCACTAAGAAAGTCTTCCACGAGAAGGCCAAGGGAACCCTCAACAAGGACGACAAATCCCCGGTCACCATTGGCGACTTCGGCGCCCAAGCTCTTATTATCCAGGCAATCAAGTATGCCTTCCCGGAAGACCAAGTCGTAGGAGAGGAGGAGGCGAGCTCGTTGAGGGAGGATACCAAGCTACGCGACCAGATTTGGGAGCTTGTCAACAGCACCCGGTTAGACGATGCCGAGGCCGAGAAGCTGATCGGTGGACCGATCCCAACTGTGGAGGCCATGCTCGACGCCATTGATGCGGGCAACAGCGCTGGAGGTGATAAGGGAAGGATATGGGCCTTGGACCCAATCGACGGAACCAAGGGCTTCCTTCGTGGTGGACAATATGCCGTCTGTCTCGGGCTCATGGTGGATGGGGATGTTAAAGTGGGAGTTCTGGGCTGCCCCAACCTTCCTATCGACGACTCCGCACCTTTAACACAAGATGCTGGAAAGGACCAGACCGACTCTGAGGGCAAGGGTGTCCTTTTCTCGGGTGTTCTAGGCCAAGGTGCGACCAGCCGACCCCTCACTGCCGGTGCGTTGGCGAAGAGCCAGCCGATCCGCATGAGCGAGAAGAAGGATATCACCGATGCCACTTTCTGCGAGAGTGTTGAGGCTGGCCACTCGTCTCACGACGACCAATCTCAGATCGCCCAGAAGCTGCAGATCAGCAAGCCGAGCGTGCGAATGGATTCGCAGGCCAAGTATGCCTCGATCGCCCGCGGCGCAGGGGATATTTACCTGAGACTTCCTACAAGTGCAACATACCAGGAGAAGATCTGGGATCACGCTGCTGGAGACTTGATTGTCAGAGAGGCAGGAGGACAGGTTACGGATTCACTAGGCAGACGTCTGGATTTCAGCAAGGGTAGAACTTTGGCTGAGAATAAGGGTGTCGTTGCCGCACCACAGGCACTTCACGCACAAGTCCTTCAGGTTGTAAAGGAAGTCCTTGGCAAGAAGGGAAACCTATAGTAGATATGAACAATTGAAATAGATTCTACATATCGTATAACTATCCGCTTGGGACCCTCCAATTCTATGACAATATAAGAACAATATAATACAAGGACGAATCGTCTATTTGATCTTCTTGGCCTTCAACTTGATCGTCTCGCCGTTGACGAAGATTCCCTTCCCCTTATATGGCTCAGGCTTCCTCCACTGGCGAATCTCCGCAGCAAACTGCAGAACAACTTCCTTCTCCGGGCCCTCCAACAATATTCTCGTTGGCTGCGGTGTGCTGGCCGTCATGCCCTTCGGCACTGGCAACTCGATAGGATGTGAGTAGCCGACTTTGAGGACTACGAACTTCTGGCCATCGTATTCCGGCTCTTTGGTGGTGGCAGTATCTTCGACTGAGGCTCTGTAACCGACTCCGATGAGGCGGAGAATAGCGTTGTGTCCTTCTGAGACTCCGAGGATGTGGTTTTGAAGGTAAGCTCTTGTGGTTCCTGGATATCAATGTCAGCACTGCGCCCTCAACCGGGTTAGATTATATCATACCCCACATCTCCCTTTGCTTGCGAACCTCCCTGTCCTCAACAGTGACAAACGCCTTCTTCGTAACGGTATCATGCTCGATATGGACGAACGGCGGGATTGTCATCGACAGCGACCCCAGCGGGCCCTCAACCTTAACAGTCGGCCTCAGCTGCTCCGGCGACGGGCGCGCATTCTTCGGCGCAGTAGGGTAAGTGACAGTGAAGTTGACCTCGGGAGGAATCGATAGGGGTGCTCTGCCGATTTGCGACTGTGTCGAGGTGGTCGCAGAGAAGGCTCTGGCCGAGGATTGGAAGGCCGGGACGAGGAAGGCGGGGATAGATATGGATGGACTGGAGCTGATCGCCCTTAAGGCTGCCCCTCGACTTGTTGAGAGCATGGCGACAGCTGTGTTGTGGAGACAATTGCTGCTCTTGCTGTCTTCGAGATATTCTATGGGGATGCTCCTCAGAAGTTCTATGGATGGCGCTAGTGCCAAAATTGAGCACGTGACTTCGCGATTCCCCAGGCACCGTCGTCGCGTCTCCCCAAACGGATGGAACTCTGCCATTGAGAAATAAACCCTCATAATTTCGTTCCAAACCTTGGGATTATGGGATACTGAGGCCAATATCTCCAATATATGAAATGACCTCTGAGGAATTCCAGGTAATACCGTAGGTCTCGTTGATTCCACGTCTCGTCTCAAAACACTCGGTGTTTCCGCGTCTCACTTGGGAAAGATTTGGGACTGCTCTCAAAGGCTTCATACCTCCAAAACGTTTCTCAAGTTCGCAAGGAGTTTCTATTACACATTTTCTACCGGTCTTCACTTTTTCCGTTCTCGGCGCCTCATAATTATCTCTCCTCCACCACGCTTATCACATTTATTCTTTCCGATCTCGTGCAATACAGGTTACACACGAGACGTCATCTTCGCGGTCTTAATCAATTATAAGACTCTCTTCTTGCCTTTCTTCAATCCATCTCTCAGCTTTCGATATTATTGAAGCTGATCAGCCCGACACTTCTTCCATCTGCCGGTACGCCTCGTTGTAGGCCCCCAGCCGAGAAAGCTCAACCACCGAAGCCAACCTTCACGATTACAGCAAAATGAAGCCATCCATAATTATACTATGGGTTCTACTACTGGGCGAAGGTTGTACAGCATCAATTTGGCGAAGGTATATCGATGAAGATGACATTGGCCAGAAGCCGGTCATTGGTGGTCAGTCTCTCCGTCATTGAGGTGAAGAATGGGTCTAACGACTGTCACAGGCGATGAGGATATTGACTTTGACCTCACATTACCAAAACGGCAACAACCTCCCGACTCCGCAATTATAAACAAGGCGTTAAAGGCGATTGAAGACTTGAATCGGAAACAATTCTGCCATCGCTTCGCAGCCAGCATGCTGTTGGATAACTGCCGAACTCCACAAAGCCCCACAGACCCCATCACCACAAACAAAGCCACTGAAGACGAACGTCGTGAAGACTACTTGAAGGTCTTTGCCGTGAGTCTCACAGTATGCGACATTGAAGCCCTTCAGCGGCCAGTTCCCCAACAATGTTCACCATACACACAATCTACTCTTATGGGTATAAAGAACAGCCGTGGCAGCCAGTCCATCATTATCAATCACTCTGAAATGAGCGGCTGTCTGAAGGCAATTGGCGCTGACCAATCTGCGGTTGTATCATGGAAGTTCAACCAGCAGTCGACGGCGGTCGTGTGTCAAGTGGCACGTATGGATATCGAAAAAGGCGAGCATTCGAAGCCACCATGCTTTAACCTGCTTCTGACGTATCATAGATGAAATAATTGCACTGTTCTCGACTCTTACCCGGTTGATGGCCGACGTCGTAGATGAAGTTCAGAAACTCTCCGAAATTAATCGCGACATCCGGCAAGAGGCAGAAGACGCAAGATCTTCCGTTCGCACGATAAAAACATCAGTGGATAAGCTCAAAGTTGGTCTCTCTGATGTCTGGGACGGTGTTTCCGCAGAGGCAACAAAAGCAAGCAATAATGTGAAGGGAATCTTTAACGGCATGTCAACTTATGCTGCCGACGTTGAACAAATGCTCAATAGACTCCGGAAGGGCTCGTTAGAAAACCATGCTGAGCAGGCTGCTTTACAACAACGGGCTCTTGATATCACAATGGACATCGCCAGCGAGGCGCAGGCAGCAAATAAGGACATGGAAGCGCTCAAGGCTATGATGGTCACTCTCTACAACAACATGGCCACCGTTGGAAATGGCCTGGTGGCAATTCAAGACCGCCAGAATCAAGTGGACAAGCAATCCTCGCAGGTCCTCTCGGCCATGATGAATATGACGGAGCAGCTGCAGATGGCGGCGAAGATGGGGGATGAGCACGAAGTATTATTAGTACGAGCAATCACTGCGGTTTCGAATCTGGCGGACATAGTCGATAAGAGTACGACTACGGCGTCTACTTGGCAGACTCGGATGTTCGGGTCAAGAGGCCCCTGCGGTATTGACTGGACACTACTCATTACGACGCCACCTACAGTCCTTGTTCTGGGATCATATGGTCTTGCGCCGTCTCTCCCTCGGAATACACTGCTTCTGCTAATAGGTTAGTTGTCTTCTCCAGTTATATTTCATGAGACATTGTCAGCTAACAGTTCTCTCCGTAGGGGGTGTCTTAGCCAAACTACTTACAATGAGCTATGACAACAATCAGAACTGGCCGAGGCCGTCTGACGGGGCCGACGGGGCCGGCGCACCCAGCACTCCCTCACCGACTCATTCATTCGGGGGGGTTCACACCACTCCCATTGAGCTGGTTCGGAAGGCGACCATCTGAAATCAGATAATCTTAATTATGAGGGCTGCAAGACCATACAAATCTCACCGTGTCGACACCAAACATTTTTATCTCAGTCAGCAGCCTCTTTGCGCACTCTCCTCACTCCACGGAGGAGGGACATTATTTCGAGATTTCACAGCACCTCCATTTTCCGGAAGGATGCGACTTCTTTTCATTATACCCCTTTTATTTTGCTCCTTCATATTTTCTTTTTTTGCCAAATCAGCGATCCAGCGATTCCATGAGCCTCAATTTTATATACACTACATTACATTACCTTTTTTTGCTATGGAGCCTACGAGCTACGATCACACGAATTACACGACATTTCATATACACACTCGTTACAGTCGCTTAAAGTTTGCGGGGAAGACATGATTTCAAAGAGCAATGGGCTGGTACTGGCAGGAACAGGAACAGATGGACTGGCGATTTTGGTAGGGTTAGGGTCGGGAGTTGGTTGGCTGATTCAAAAGGTGGTAATGGGTTGGGCACTACGTTAACAAATATTATACACATTCTCATTCCAAGAGCTTTCAAAATAACACGTAATGTGGAGCCTAAATTCTGGAGGAACTAATACAATACCAGTGTACACAACAACATTATCCTCAAAATTGAAGGGCTACTTAATGCAAACAGCAATTTCTACACCGGAGACGCACTTAGCCTCCAGAGCCCGATCCGAATACACGCTCCGGATTGAAACAGATATACGGTGCCGGAAGATGCAGAGGAATGCGGCTGCCCAGAGGAAAATGCATGGTGCTAAACACGCAAAAGAACGACAAGTACGTGGAGAGAAAGCTTGAGCTTAACCAGACGTAGCAATTCTGACACTATTGAAGGGCATAAACTCCAATAATGTCGGACTACATGCTGTCACCACCGTGAGATGCTGTCACCGTTTGATGTTGCCACCGTTTAAATGCTACCACCGTCTAGATGCTACCACTCAACCACTATCCTTGATTTTTGTCTAGCCTTCATCGGAACGAGACATGATTCGATCGTGAGCGCTTATCAAATAGGTAGCAAACCGACATATCTCCTTCTCAAACTCTGTTATTTCCATGAGCGACTCGAGACCCGAGTTGATTGCCTCCTTTTAAGTTGGCATATCCATTTATCTTAGACGAGAGTAGGGCGAGCGAGCACGTGGATACATATGGCCAATTCAACAGCATGAGTACTATTCAGATGAATCTGCGCAGAGCAGATCAACAAGCGATAAGTTAAGCAAAGGGTGATCACAGGACAAACGTCAGGAAGCAGCCAGGGACAGGGGGCCAATGGTCAATAGCCTCTCTCTCACTAACCCACTCTTCATGAGCTTCACCATATCAAATTACGAGCCATTAATCCAGTCCATTTCTCTGTGTGCCAATTCCATTCTGATCATAACACCCCCTTCATCACAACATCACAGATAAACAACCCCCCTTACATACCCTCCTCACCCCCTCACATAATTCTCGGCCCCTCAGCAGTAATTACACATACATACATGCATCCACTCTCGACCGGCCCTTCCAACCACCCTTCAAATTTCCAAACCAAAGCACAAAAAACCCGGTATCCAACGCGCGCACACAAAAAGCAAAAAATTGCGCCAGGAAAACGTGCCGCCGCAGGCGGCAAGGGCGGCGATCGGGTATCGAATGAACAGAGTTGAGTTTGAGGTTGGAGACCAAAAAAATACAGAAATAGAGGAAAACACGAGTACAAGTTGCGAGTGATGGCGACGGTGTTTAAACAACGACCTCATCGGGGAGAGTCGAGATCTCGCTGATGGATTTGAGCATTCTATTTCTAACACGTCAGCACCTGTCCTTCCGTAACTCGGGATAAGGGGGGGAGGGGATGGACAAACCTCAAATTCTCATCCTTAAGCTCATCATTCATCTCATCAAGCTGCGACACCTTCACCTTTGCCGCTGCCAACTACAAAATCTCGTCAGTAAACTTGCACAAAAGGGAGTCAGGCAAGGCCACCCACCGAAGCGAGCGCGGCTGACGAGTTATCTGGCTCACCTTCCGCGGCTGGTGCAGCTTCCTCGAGGTCCTCGGCGAATTTGCTGGCCAGGATCCCAGACTTGGGCTTCTCTACTGCGGCAGGTGCTGCTGCTGCCGTGGCCTGGTTTTGATATTAGTTTCACATCGACGGCAGGCAATATGGGAGGAAACATGCCTTAGCCTCAGCAATCTCAGCATCCTTAACCTTCAGCTGCGCTTCGAGCTCAGCGACATGCGATGAGACATCAGCCGCCTTCTTGGTAGCAGCCTCGGCCTTCGCATTCGCCTCCTCAACGAGCTGCGTGAGCGAGTCATGCATATCCTTGTAATCCGACTCGCTCGTCTTCTCCTTGCTCTCCACGGTGGCCTTGTGCTCAGCAAAGTCAGCCTGGGACTTCTCGAGCGCCTCCTTGGCGGCGAGGTGCTCCTTGGTCGCTTGCTCGGACTCCTTCTGGGCGACGGAGAGCGCGGTGGCGTGCTGGTCCTTGAGGGAGGCGAGCTCGGTCTTGAGGGCATCGGTCTCGGTGGTGTCGGGTGCCTTGTTGGCGAGAGCTTCATGCTTCTCCTTGAGGGCGGCAAGCTCAGCCTTGAGGGCATCGACCTCAGTGGTGTCAGGTGCCTTGTTGATAAGAGCCTCGTGTTGCTCCTTGAGAGTTGCAAGCTCGGCGCGGAGAGCATCAGCTTCAGTGGTATCAGGTGCCTTGTTGGCCAAAGCCTCGTGCTGCTCCTTGAGGGAGCTGTGCTCCTTGCGGAGAGCATCGAGCTCGGTGGTGTCAGGTGCCTTGTTGGCCAAAGCCTCGTGCTGCTCCTTGAGGGACCCATGCTCAACACGGAGAGCATCAAGCTCGGTGGTATCTGGCTCCTTGGCGAGGAGCGTAGTGTGCTCCTCCTTCAGAGTCGCGAGCTCAGCCTTGAGGGCATCAGCTTCAGTGGTGTCTGGTGCCTTGTTGACAAGAGCCACGTGCTCCTCCTTAAGAGAATCATGCTCCTTACGGAGGGCGTCGAGCTCGGTGGTATCCGGCTTCTTGTTGATAGCAGCATCGAGATCAGCCTGCGCAGCAGACTTGGCAGATTTCTCCTCGGCGAGGGCAACCTTCAGCTCATCGATCTCAGCTTCGCTCTTCGCGGCTTGCGCGGCGACCTTCTCAGTCTCGGCCTTCAGCGCAGCCTCGGCCTCCTTGTACTTCTCAATCTCAGCTGCAAGGCTCGACTGGACGGTTACGTGCTCGTCCGTCAACGACAGAAGAGCGGCGCTGTGGGTAGAGTGGATCTTCTCAAGCTCAGCAGCGTGGTTAGAGTCACCAGAGACAGCACGCTCAGTCACCTCGCCCAACTCCTTGGAGTGCGAGGTCTTCAAGTCGGCAACAGCGGTCTCGTGCGCGGCCTCGGCGGCCTTGAGCGCATCAACGGCACTGCCGTGATCGGTTCTCAGCTTCTCCAACTCCGAAGTGTGAGCCTCGACCGCGGCATCGTGAGACTTAACAAGCTCCTCGTGCTGGACATTCAGCTCGTCGTACTTGTCCTTGAAGCCTGACTGGCTCTCCAGAGCGTCGATCTCCTTCTGGTAGTCCTTGGAAATCGACTCCAGCTCCTTGATGTGCTTCTCGTTGATGGAAGAGATCTCCTTCGTCTTCTCCTCCAGAGTCTTCGTCAGGGAAGCAAGCTCCTTCTTGTGCGCCTCGTCGCTGCTCTTGCTAGCCTCGTCGACGGTATCCATCATCTTTTGGAGCGACAGGACCTCCGCTTGAATGTTCGCAACCTCGCCATTGGCCTTGGTCAATGCTGCCTCGCTTTCGGCAATCTTAGCTTGCGCGGCTTCGAATTTCTCCGACAACTCAGCAAGATCCTTCTCTGCGGTGGCAAGCTTCTCCTTCAGGGCAGCTAGCTCGGCAGAAAGGGCTGCCTTGTCCTCATCGTGTGCCGATTTGGCGGAGGTCAACTCAGCGCCAACGCTAGCGTGAGATGCAACAGCGGTGTCGAGCTCCTTCTGGAGACTTGCTTGCGCCTCCTCGTGCTTGTCGGCGAGGGCCTTGAGCTCTTCGGAATGCGACGTGCTAGCATCGCTAGTTCCCTTATCCAAAGCTTCCTGGTGAGAGAGCTTCAATGCCGAGATAGTAGCCTCGTGCTCATCGGTGAGCGACTTGAGGGCTGTCTTCAGCTCTTCCAATGCCGATGCATGTTCGGCGTTCTGGGTAGCAATGGTACCCTCGACCTCCTTAGACTTAGCCTCGTGCTCAGACTTCAACGAATCCAAAGTCTCGTTCAAGGCCTTGGCCTCTCCCTGAGCCTTCTCAGCATCAGCCTTCGCCGCCTCGATATCCGCTTCCTTGGCAGCGACAGTGCTGGCGTGCGAATCCTTGGCAGTTTGAAGCTCAGCCTCGAGCGCAGCTAATGCGGCTGTATGCTCGGTGTGCTTCTTCTCGAGGGCCTCGGCAGACTCGACAGCGGTTGCGTTGGAAGCATCGAGCTTGGCGTTGTATGACGTCTCAAGCTCAACGAGTTGCGCCTCGAGGGTCTGAACATCCGACTTGTGGGAGTCGCGGGTCTTCTCGACCAGCTCGGTATGCTCCTTACGGATGCCCTCTTCGGCAGCGGAGACGCGAGCGGCCTCTTCTTCGATCTGCTTGCTCAAGTCGGCCAGCTTCTCTTGGGAAGCAGCGACTTCGGCCTTGAGCTCCTCGACCTTGGCTTCGCTCTCCTGGAGCTTGGCCTTCAGGTCCTCAGACTCCTTGGCAGCGGCTGCAGAAGCGGCAGTTCGACTTGTTGAGCCTGTGATGGAGCCAGCGATATTCGAGATTCTCCTTCCTGCCGTCGTAGCAACAGTAGCGGCTGGCTTAGCAGTCGTCGATGCCAAGCGGCCAGTCACGGAGCCATTCGAAGCTGTGCTTTTTGGGGTTGTCGAAGTAACGGCCCTCGTAGTTGGCTTTGGTGGGGTCGAGGTGGTAGATACAGCGGGCTTGCGAGCCGCAGCAGCGGTGGTTGGTGTAGTCCTGCTTGCCGAGCTGCTCGATGGGAGTATGGATGATCGTCTCGCGGTTCCAGCTATTGGCTTCTTCTCGTCAACCGACGAGGCGGACCTATGCGAAGCAGCACTCGACGATGTCGCTCCCGTCGCGCTGGTCGCTGGCTTTCTGGCGATAGATCCAGCCACTGGTCTTGTAGGTGGCTTGCTCAGTCCGCCAGTCGTGGTACGCGAGACAGACGATGTTGGAGTCGTCTTCGCAGTCGACGTAGTAGTTGTAGCCGACTTCGTGCTCGAGGTCGCCGAGGATCCTAGGCGCTTCGCCGGGACAGCAGCGCGCTTTGGCACAACACTGTCCTTCTTGACCGCAACCTTTCTCGGGCTTGGGGTCTCCTTCTCGGTCTCCGTCTCGACCTCCGAAACCAGCCCCGTCGTCTCCTCGCCGGCGGTCTCGGTTCCAGACGCCTCCTGCGTGCCCTCCTCTTGCACCACGACGTCCTTAGGTTCGGTATCGGCCATCTTCCTGAATTTCAATCGGATCTCTCGTGGAGAGATACCACACAGATAGTTCCTAGCTGCCATTGGGGGCAACTGTCAGCGAACGAATTATATAATAGGAGTATAGGAAGAGGATCTGTTGGCCATCGAGGGCGGGACATGCTGCCTGCGCCTGTCTGATATACCAGGGACGCACGGCGCCACGTCAACGCCCGTTGGATGATGCGAGGCCGAGCCAACGCAGGCATGCCCGAGCCCGACTGTGCGCGCTGCACCTGATGGGCAGAGATCTCCATAGGAAGAGGGGGGGACTTACTACGTGTTCGGCGTCGTTGGTGCCTCACCGCTGTATGCGCAGGCAAGAAGAGGAAAAATCGATGCGGGTGTTGGGTGGTGAGGTATAAGAGTGGTGGGCTATTGTTTTTGTCGACGGCGCCAACGCAGCGAAGTGGGACTTTGAGCTTTCTTCAGGCTGTATATGAATCAGACCCCTGTGCATAGAGTAGAGTAGGTGAGGCTATGATTATGAATGGGTTTGTCTTACCTAGAGTAACAGTTGCGATAGTATAATTGGCGTTAAGGTAGGAATGGGAGATGCAGCGACAAGATCCTCGTCTTAATTCAATTGGGGGAGGGGGGTTGAGAAGACAGCGGTGGGCATCCGTCCCACACGCGTCGGCTCAGGGGAGAGCTTCAAAGCCTAATTAGGCGAGTGGAAGTCACCGCCGGTTCGGTGTCAGGGGTCCATGAGGTTAGAGGCGTTATTGTGGTTGTCAAATTATTGCCAAAACCATCCCGAATCACCCCAAATCACACCCAAATCATCCAAAATAGTCACAAATCATTTCCTATAAACACGCTATTACTCTACTACCCGCTATTATTGTCACTATATTCAATATAGTCGATATAGTCGCTCTAATAGTAGCTTCAAAACATACCGACGCGACACCCGGCTTACCGCTCTTTCCGTCTGTATTTACTTCGTCATAATAACGAGTAACTTATTTATCCACGGCCAGCCATCGCAATTATTTGCTCCGAACTATATTGATTTACACACCGTGCCCTCGATGATGGGCCCAAGCCGCTCTACCATCTGCAATGTGGACCTTGCACCGTCCAGGACCCCCAGAAAAAACCCCCACTTTCTACACCCGCCCTGGCAGTCTGACGCTTCCTACTGGACCCTGAAAAAAGGGTTCTGCGCGTCGCGTTAGCCTACAACACATCAACCGCATCCAGCGTCACCGTTAGGCCGCTAACAACGAGCGCCGTGGAGTCGAATCCACTCGCCCCGACCACGACCCAATATGCCAGCTCAGAGCTCGTTTCGGAAGCCTGCCAGGAAGAAGAAAAAACTAAGAAAGCAGACTAGAAAATCTTCACGCATGTACGTCGTCACGGGTATCGTATGCACGATGCACGCGGTTCAATTTGGATAGCACGGCAAGATTGGTCGTCGTCACACAGTGGTGGTGGAAGACAGCGTGGAATGCACAGTGCCACGAACGTGTCCGGGCAAATAATATCATGGCTTCGTGAAATAGGGTATCTGGACAGTGTAAAGAAAGAGCCACTCTGACGCACACCCCGCCATCGCGCTGGTCTCACTCCCTCCCCCTGGGTAACATCTCGTTACCAATGATTTCAATCCACGCTGGGACTGGTATCCCTTTCGGCACATAGAGAGTCTCGATTATGACCCTCTTAAACTCTAATGCCTTCTCGAAAATCTCGTCGAAGCTCCTATCCAACCTCCTCGCAATATTTGGGTATTTATCAGGCCCTGCGCGTAGATTAGTTAAGTGAAACAGACAGCACAGTAGAAAATGAGACATACCTGTTTCCAACCTGAGCCCATCCGCCAGCACCTCGTACTCAGTCTTAGTCCAAGGTTTGGTGACAGGAGCGTTATTATTGCCAGCCGGGAACATCTCCACCCTCTCGTAGTCAATCTCATGCGCGTCATCTGCATCATAGCCCCTGAGCTGGCGCTGCTCCTCTCGTCTCAGCTTCGTAGCCCGTCTCTCGGCCGTTTCAAGCTTCTTCGTCAGCGCCTCCACTTCCTTCGCCAGCACGCTCACTTCCTCCTCTGCACGTATGCGGTGCGCCGTGATATTAAGCTCTTGCGCCTGGTGGGGTTCAGTCGGCTGTGGCGGTTCGGATGGCTGGGGTTTCTGAGACACCTGGGTGCCTGCCAACGGTACTGGAGCTAGCCCGTATTTCATCCTCTCTTGGTTGAATGCATCATTGATCTCTTCCTGTCGCCTCTGGTGCTCAATCTGAGCCTCTTCCGCCGCCAACCGTTCCGCCTCTTCTCGTTTTCTCCGCTCCCTCTCCAGTATGGGAGCTTGTCGCTCCGCTTCGGCCACATCTTCTCGATGCTGTAATTCTTGTTTGCATTGAATCTCGAAGCCTAGTAGGAGGGGCTTGATGCTCATGTATGGCCTTCGGATTGGAAGGGCAGTGTTATGGGCTGCTACTGGGCGATGATCTTTGTTATTCGGATCCTCGACTATGACAAGCAGCCTCGACACTAGTGATATGTACCGTAATATCTCCTTTAGATCAAAGGTGCCCGGAGGCCCCTCGGAGCCATATGTGAATATGGCTGCAGATGCTGCCCTGATGATGTCTGGCATGACGAACAGGAACAGATCTTTCAGCATTCTTTTGCGCCACTTCTCGCCTTTATCTCCGCCGTAACGAGCAGCAAGTTTGGCGGGATCGCAAAGCTTCTTCTCTATAATTCTCCGCACGGTGACTTCTAACCTGTCAAGGTCTCTGGCAGCTGAACAGAGCGCCTCGGTTCGAGCAACAGGATCGGGGTCTTCATGTTCGTCGAGGCCCTGGATTGACTCGTATGAAGAGATGATGTTCCTCGTTAAGACCTGTATCTCTTTTCCATCAAAAGTGTCGGCCTTCCTCAGGGGCTCTGTATCATTTTGTGTATCTTTGGGTTGATTCATCCCAAGTTTGTCAACCAACTCCGTGACCTTTATGATGTTGCTAGCGGCTATAAAGTCATTCCCAAAATAAGGGGACTTTATAGAGATTTGTAGTTCGCCTTGGCGCTTCCTCCTGGGAATTGCAGCATTGATAGGCGATATTCCTTCGGTCTTAGGTTTAAGTTCTTCTTCGGTCTTAGATTCAGCTTCTTCTTCGCTCTCAGGTTCAAGTTCCCCTTCGCTCCCACTATATTCGACACCGCTACCACTGTCTTCGAAGTCTTGATCGTCTGGGTCTTCTTTGTCCTCGACGGTTGCGTTTTTGCCTTTCTTTATACTCTTGGCGGTTGCATCGGACGGCCCCGAGGCGGCACTAGATTGTGATCCTTTGTCCGAGACGCTAGGTGTGGCTTCTGGCAATTCGTCTACGGCGTGGGGTTTCTGTAATGTTGGCGGACTCGCAGCTTCCTCGGCTGGGATGTCCTCCTCGGCGAGATTCTGATTGCCTGGGGTGCTGGGTCTGTCTCCATCCTCCGATTCATCGACCTCATCTTCTATAACCTTCTTATTTCTCTTGCGGCTCGCCCTCGGTGGCGGCTCGACACCAACTGTGCCACCACTCCGCTTCCGCTTGCCCGTGTCTTCAACCTTTCTCGAATAATCAATAGGTTCGACGATCTCACCAGACCCTCGACTCCTGGTGACTCTGGTTGGAGCTTCTGCCTTTATTTGTTCTGATTCTTTAAAAACGGTTACGAGCAAGTGGGGACTTGGTGCCTTACCTTTAGGAGGCGGCTTCTTTGCTGCTGCTGTATTATTCCTCTTGCGCTTCACGCCCTGAGCTTGTTTCGACTGAGTTCTGGTGGGCGTTGTCGCCGCCTTCTCTGGTGATGCATGTAGGTCGTAGACATCCGGTTTCCCAGAGCCTTGTGGCGATGGTTTGTACGTGTTGAGAGGCTGGTGCAGCACCGACGGGCGACTAAGTTTATTGGGAGCTTTGCTAGCTGAGGCTGAAGTGGATCGTAGTTGCATGTTGTCGTCTCTTGCCTCCGCGGGGCTTGTGTCGTCAGTGATGTCGTTGTCGTTTGGTCTGGAGCCGCTGCTGCCCAGAAGTCGCAAGCCCTCAGTGAATAACCCAGTAACTCGCTTCCGTATAGAAAACGGGGGGTCCTGTTGTGGCTCGTCGTCTTGTAAAGCTCGACTTGAGGTGCGAGGTGTGCTTGTGGCGTTGTTCAACACGTTAAGAACGTTGTCGCTGACGTCCTCGTCTTCGTCCTCTTCTTCTGGGTCTTCTTGTTCGGCATCTAGTTGCTCTCGGAGCAGTAACGAGAATTCGCCTTGGTCTTCTGTTGCGACAGAATCAGCAACTAACCGCTCTGCATAAACAAATTGCTCCCAATCACCGTCTTCCGCAACTTCCTCTTCATCTTGGTTTTGCTTGCTTGCGACGGCGACAGGCGCGCTGGTCGCATTCCGTCGCGCCATTGGAGAGGAACACCAAGACGAAAGCCCAGGCACTCAGATCTCAGTTAATTTCAAAGCTTAATTTATACTGTTGTCAATCCAAGTTACCATATTCAAAGCTCGACGTCGGTCCCGCAAGCCGAGCGCATACGTAGTTCCCAAGGTTCCTTTGTCGCGGATAGCTCGTCGTTATCGGTGGTAGACGCGACTCGCTTACCCTTCCCCCACGTCATGTCAACACAGAACATTCCATATGGCAGGGTCAACCCAACAGCTTCACAGCAGAAAGCCAACAGATTGCAACAATAATCAGTATGGCAGAAGCACATGGCGCCCGCGGGTCCGCACAAAGCAAGCTACCCAGGCTTTCAATAATGGACCTGTCGAAGCCGCATACCTTTATCAAGCCAGTGAAGAGGATCAATGAGGGGCACGATGTCCCCCACTTCCTCACCTCACGTGCATATAGTGACATAGGAACCTTTGTGATGCAGCTTGACACCGCTATGTGTCCTAGGAAAGTTGAGGTGGATGGTAAGACGCAAGTAAAGACATGGGAGCTGGGTAGCAGTGACTTCGCAGTTTCGGGATTAGTAAAGGAGATTCAAGAGATGCTGAAGACGATCGAAGCTATCATCGATGAAGCACCTCCAGATACTGGGCCGAGGAGGTTTGGAAATATCAGTTTCAGGAGGTGGCATGAGCTTCTTGAGTCCAGGGTGGGCACGATTCTGAGGCGGCATGTTCCTGTTGAGATTCTCGATGCTGGGTCACCGGGAGAGGCTACCGCGGAAGATGAGCTTACTTCATACCTGCTGGGCGGGTTTGGGAGCTCACAGAGGCTAGATTTTGGTACAGGCCACGAGCTGAGTTTTCTGGCATTCTTGGGATGTCTATGGAAGCTTGGTGGGTTTACGGCAGGAAACGAAATATCTGATGATGGTCGTTTGGAGAGGAGTATAGTACTTGGGGTCTTCGAACCGTAGGTTGTGGCATTCCTAAGTTATTTTCCTATGCTAAATTTCATTTTTCAGTTACCTGAATGTTATCCGTCGATTAGTTCTCACGTATTCCCTCGAGCCCGCTGGCTCTCACGGCGTCTGGGGTCTGGATGACCATTTTTTCTTATCTTATATTTTTGGATCGGCTCAATATAGTCCTGCAATCCAAGATGGACAGCCCATGCCAGTAGAGGGATCACTACCAGATGCACCGAACCCTGCGTCTGTCATCAAGAAAAATATTGTTGACCAAGAGAGAAAGAAGAATATGTACTTCGCGGCCATTGGCTTCATCAACGATGTCAAGACGGGGCCGTTCTGGGAGCACAGTCCAATACTCTTCGATATATCTGGGGTGCGCGCGGGTTGGGGGAAAGTCAACAAGGTATGTGAATGCATTTCAAAGCCCGTCTGAACCTTTCTAACAAAGCGCCAGGGCATGATCAAAATGTACAATGCCGAAGTGCTGTCCAAATTCCCAGTGGTCCAGCACTTCAACTTCGGGTCTTTGTTCAGCTTTGAGCGCGATCCAAATGCAGCAGCAGCTGCCGCCACAGTACACACATCCAACCAGCCATCATCCCACACCATCTCCGTCAGCGGAAACACGAGCGGTGCGCCGACAAGTCGTCCAGTGCCGCAGGAAGGTACACGCGCTCCATGGGCCAATGCTCCAGCCACTACCATCCCAAATGCTCCTCCTCAGGCGGGTGTAGCAACGGCAGCACCGTGGGCAAAGCCTGCTTCTGCTGCTCCTCCCCAAGCTGATGGCTCGGTGCCAACTCGTGCTCCTTGGGCTGCGTCGGGGTCCGGCTCGGCGCCACTGCCAGGTAATGTGCCGACAAGAGCGCCGTGGGCAACAGGGCCCAGGTGAACTGTAGCCAGGCGAACTATAGATAGTAATGCATAAAGCATTTAGTATAATAGCCATCCCTCCAGAGCTCATCCGGATCATAAATAGCATCCCATCGCATCTCGTTGCATCCCATCTGGCTCTATAGGCAGCATATAAGCAGGGGAAATAATGATGCGCTATCAAGCCTCTTGAAAATCTTAACTGTGGATCTTAACGGTCTGGTGTCTCATCACCCCATCTTCCCATCTCACCATTGTATTCCGTGCATGCTCACCAACCAACCAACAACCCCTATGCAAGTTAATTTGTCAATGTGGACGATTGATCGCACGATAAGGCTCACCGTCGCTGATAGAAGTACCACAAACCACACGTACCACCGCATTACTATGGTAATCTGACGCCAGTGAGACATTTCCCCGGACCTGGTGGACCTGTGTGCTTATCTAATCCCGTGTACAAGCTTTCCCCTTGTCTGATGTATAGTTAGTGCAGTTAGTACAGGGCAGTGCATGCATGCCATGCCGTACATCGTACAGCGTACTACATACAGTACATCGTACATCCAACAATAAGTCGTTCCTGCCAAAGAAATTGGCTCTGGCTCTGGCTCTGGATTTTTGTTGGGAATACGACATAGGTAAGATCTGAAGAACGCCGCCGTATCTCAAATATTTCCTCCCGTAAGACGCGCTCCATGAAGTCCAAAGCGTATCGCCCATTCTCTTGCGACGCTTGCATGGGCCCATCTCCCTTAGTATAGCCCCGTCTCAATTTAAGCCACAAATTAACCTAACCCCAATTCGACCGTCGCTTGGTGCTCGGCGCCGTCGAGCTTGGGGTATATCTCGCTCACACTCTCATCTCCCCAACATTCACAACAATAACCGCTCCGCGCACACGCAAAGCCCACCTCGACCTTCAAGCTCACGCCTTGCGCATCCTTCTTCAACTCCCTTATACCATCACCCTCAAGTTTCCAACCACCCAACCGTCATCATGCCTGGCGTTCGTAAGTCTCCCTCGTCGCGTGCGCACCTTCAAACCTCACCCCGACCTTCCTGACCTTCTCGTACAACGCGCCACGCGCCTCACCCCAAACACACCCGCTGACCCCTTCCACAGCTCCCAATGCGATCGCCAACCTGAAGGCCAAGTGCAAGAGCTTCTTCAAGTCCAGCAAGAAGTCCAAGACCACCGAAGCCAAACCCGCCGCCGCAGCTGCTGCTGCCCCAGCCGCCGTAGCTGCCACCGCAACCACGGACGACAAGCCGACCGAGACCGCGCCCGCGGCCGCTGCACCAGCTGATACCGGTATGTGGATCCGAAATCCGTAGAACGATCTTGGCGACATCCTGGAGAAGTGGGGATATAGAGTCGCAGGACAAATATCCCGATGTAATTGCGGCGCTAACGAACCTCAGCTGTTGCCACCGAGGCTGCCCCCGTCGCCGAGGCTGCCAAGGCCGTCGACGCTGCTGCCCCTGAGACCGCTGCCCCAGCTGCTACCATTACTGAGGCCGCCCCAGTCGCTGAGGTTGCCCCAGTCGTTGCTGCCCCTGAGGCCGCTGCCGCCCCAGCTGCTACCATCACTGAGGCTGCTGTTGCCCCAGTTGCTGAGGCCGCCCCAGTCGAGGCTGCTGCCCCAGCTGCCACTGAGGAGGTCGCCGCTGTTGCCGCCCCAGTTGAGGAGAAGGTTGAGGCCGCCGCCGGTAAGAATCCTTTGTTCGCTTGAACCTGACTTAGACTAACCCTTTCACCAGCCCCAGTCGCCGAGGCCGTGCCCGAGACCGCCGCCGCCGCCGAGACCAAGGTCGAGGAGGTCGCTGCTGCCCCAGCTGCCACTGCTGCCTAAATGCACTCCACGTTGCCTCCCTGCCTCCGCACGCGCGCACCTCGATTGTGCTGATATGTGTGTGTGGGGCCAGGGACGCTAACGAGTCTCATGTCTTTTTATGTGGCGCGAAGCCTGCCTTTTGTTGTCGTGTTCTATCTCTCGTTTATACCCGCGCGTGGCGCCGAGATGGATCGATGATACCCTGCGGAACCTGGATCTCTGTGTTGTGCCGCGCTACGATAGTTAGTTGTGGTTGAATGGAGAAGTTGTTAATGTATTTGTCTGGTGTGTGTGGCTTACTTTGGTGAATGTGATTTGTGGGTGTTATGTGGGTGTCGTATGGTGATCGGACAATCTGTGAGTTTACTCTTGAGGTGAGTTCTTTCTTGGGTCGGGTTCGTTCTTGGGTTGGTTTCTTTCTTTGGCCAAGTTCCTTCTTCATGGTTTCTTTCTTTAGTCGAGTCCATTCTTCTATCGAGTGCGGTCTCATTCTAATCTCGTTCTTGTGTTCGTTGTTGTCAGTGTTGTGTGTGAACCGTCGGTTTGATTTCGTGTAGTTGTTTACGTGACGAGAGGTGCTCAGCTTGCTCAAGCTAGTTGAAATGGAAAAGGAGAACCCCGCTAGCTCTATTTCAACGAATATAATGTCGTTGAGATGCTCCGCTTGCTCTCACCGAGCCTGCATGTTAGCCTGATCTAGGAGGGCGTTCCGTGCACGCTGAATTTATTGGCCGACTGAGCTGTCAGATATCAAAGCCTGGAGTCATTAATTGATCAAACCGCCACGGCTTAAGCGTCTGCTTGTGCCCAGGTGCTTGCGGGCGAGCTTACCAGCATGATAACTGACCTGCGGGCCTCGTATGTCCGTCGGCCCTGGGCATTTTCTGCTTCTCTCAGTTGTCTTGGGCTAGCTTGTCGAGGTGAAGGTAAGCGTCCAGTGAACCCGAGAGCCTGTCCCAAGTTGGGTGCTTGTTCGAGGTTTCTTTGATGGAAACATTTGCTTAGTGGACGAGTTTCGTGGAAAGGTGATTGCCCGATCTCGTACTGTCTGTCTTGCATGTTTACTCATATATATAGAGAGAGCGAGAGAGAATTGCCGTTTCTATTAGCGTTTCTATAATCAGTTCTACGAGTACGATCACCTACGACTACCATCACTTATTCTACTGCGACCACTCCTACCAGTTCCATCACTTCTACGAACATTCTGCGGCTGGTGAATAATCTTGACAAAAGAGGCCTTTTGCTTGCCTATGACGCCGCAAGATCTAAGGTGGCCTTACAATATGTGTCACACAAGTCCAGTTCTACAAATGCTTGGATCTAGGGGTCCATTTAACGGCACGTAGCTGTTAGTCCGGAGGTTATCTAAAATAGCTTATGACTCCTATGATCTAGCATATTGTTATAAGATCTGGATAAGCCACCTTCATTTTTATCCAAATAACTTACTCTTCTACCACAGACACTTGCCACATCCCAACTCAGCAGACATATCAAGTTCGCCACCATGACTATACACTGCAAAACGAGAAAGTTGGTTTCAAACACTTCGTCCTCCAAGAGTCCTGATCGTATGTTAATCTCGCCCCTTATCTATAATTTACCATACTAATCCATCTCTCCACAGTTGGTCCTTGCTCCATCGAGCAATACGTCGCCAAAAAGGACCGTTTTCGATTCGCCCCAACAAACAAGATCCCCGTTTCCTGGCCTCATGACGATAAAACTCGCCCTTTTACGGTTGATCGATTAGCCCTCAACTCAGCGACACAGACTCAGGGAGCCTAGGGGCGGTAGTAAACTTTCAACCTCGAGGCGGGGGAGAGCCGCAAAAGTGTCTTCTAAGATCCTACCATGCCGTTGCTTCAGGAGATCCTATTGGCCGGGCTGTTAACGATGAGCTCGGCATTGGCTTTGACGGACGGGCAGTGGGCCGGCGAATCGAAATCGCGTATCCCGCGTGTTGCGACGGGGAGTATACGAAGGAACAACTTGCTGAGTATGCTAAAAAAGGTACACGCCTTAAGAAATTCCATTATGCGAGTCTTGTGGCCCTCATTGAGCGAGAGGGGGTGATTGGGGAGGTTATCCATGCATCAGGTCTGCGACACAGCAGCGCTGGAGAGAAACGCCATCGTATGGACTGGGCGTTAGTTGCACTCCACCCCTCCAAGGATGCGGTGCTCAACACGCCACCCGACGACTCAAAATTTAATTACACGATTTCCCGCGTACCAGAGTTCGCTTACCACTATAGAACCGAGCCCGGCGATGTCATTTCACGGACCAGCGATCCCGTGGCATTTTCCTGGGCTGGGAAGGTTCACGCCGGCGCATGGGGACTGCTGGGCGGGTGAATAGCATGAAGCGGACGGTGTGTTGGGGTGATGGCGTGGTCTCGAAGGAGGTTGAGGTGATATCTTTTAAATGGGAGTTTGCGGAAGGTGGTGATGATGGATCGATGGTGTTTAATGTCAAGAAGGAATGGGTTGGGATGGTAGTCGGGAGTGATTCTGAATATGCTGGCTACATTACCCCCGCTGCTGACATTATTGCCGATATCGAGGCAAGAACGGGAGGGACTATCACTCTAGTCTAGTCGATATCAATGTTACGTTTTATACACTATTTCTGTCCACTGCCATCCGTTCTTTCCTCTTTCGTAAGCGCTCATGGAAAGCCACCATGGGATCTATCCCAAAAGTATCGCCATAGCCAAAATACCTATCAATTTGCTGAAGAAACATAACCGAAGGCTGAACATCCGGTTTCCTACTCTTTAAATATTCCAAGGCAGCCCTGGAATTTGACTTATTCTGGTGGCAGAGATAAGCCGTGACTGCAGCCGCTGAACGGTTAACCCCAAGTGCACAGTGAACAAGCACTCTGTTTTGGGGGTGCTGGAGCGCGGCATTGATGAACTGTAGGATCAGTTGGATATAGGGCGTGATATCGTCCCAGTCGAGTAGTTGGATGTGGAGGATCTCCGGTCTGGGAGAGGCATGGGAGCCGTATTCGTGTGGTGTCATGCACAGGTTGAGAACACATGTGTATTTCTTGTCGATCTCGTCAGGAAATGATGAGAGGTAGAGGCCCCGTATTACCTCTACTGCAGGTTTATTTTTCTCCATCTTTATATCGGTATTATTTAGTTGGCGTGGATTCAAGTATATTTTTGAAAGAAAGTGCAAGTTTTTCTATTAAGAGAAAACTAAAATAATAGTAGTACGCGGATTCATATTAACACATGATTATCGTCCAGGACCATGGTTTACTGGACCCTTGCGAGCTATTATTCTCTTATAAGCTATAGTATTCGTGTCAACTAAGAGTCTGAAGATTGGATGTTCATGGCTTGGAATTAATACCAGCAACTTGAACTGGCGGTCACCACACAAGGTATATTACCGCAAGGATTGTTGCCCGTACGTCCCCAAGACTCAACACCAGATTGCAGCGCAGTATCTTGGGATTTGTCCCTAGTTATGCCTATGTTATGAACGGAGCCGACTGTATTAATGCGCTCTAAGATGACCACCGACGATATTTGCACCGTTATTAGGGGTGGATTTACACACCACATCTGATACATTCCGGACAAGCACATCTGCTTCGTCACCTTCATCGATACCACCTCAGCGGCTTCATTCTACGTGCTTTCTACGTGCTGGGCAGTTTACAGGGCCTCACAATCTATAACAGACGCCTAAATATCGACTAGAGTAAGCACTTTGGTGCTCTCCCAATATAACTTGTCTCTCTCGTCTCGGTTCTGAGTAACCGGCTTATTGATTGTAGACCTGTTTGATTAGCCCCTTTATCTGAATTATATTTGCTGTAAACTTAGCTGTTATGGGCAATCCCTCGGGATCTTTTGCCAACTGGATAACTTCTAATCCCAAAACGATCAACGAATGGGTAGAACAAATAGAAATCCAAATCCACCAACCTTCACAACCACCCACCCCTCCCCATCTTCCCCATCCCACCCCCCAGCAACACACTCCACCACCCCATCCACCAAATCGAACCCCCCCACCACCTCCCCCGTCTCACACCTCACAATCGCTCTCCCCCTCATATCATCTCTCACGTCCCCAAAAACCGCACACAGCGACCTAACCTCCCACTCCTCAAACCCAACCGCCTCGCCACCACCACCCATCGGCGGCCGCGGTTTAGCATACACCTCCCCGAACACTAGAAGCGCCACGCCCCCTTCTCCTCCGACCTCGAACCAACTCCCTGACCTCGCGCCCCGCAGCCGCGGACACTCCATAATCCTGGGCATCGACGCGCAAAACGACTCCTCGGCGTGGTGATACAGCATCGTCCTCCCCCCCACAACCCCAGGCAGGGAGCCAGGCTTATACTCCCTCCCATCCCTGACCTTAAGCTCCGCCACACTCCAGTAGGGCATATACACCACCTTCTGCACCGCAGCCAGCGGTTCCAGCGCCCTCAGTATCGCAGCATTCTGCTCCTTGGTCGGGAACGTCATTTCCCCCCACTTCACCTCCGGACACGGATTAGGCACGCGCGGATTAGCGTAGTAGAGTCTGGGCATGAGATACCGCCACGGGTCCTCGCCGGGGGGGTGAAAGATAAGCGGCATGCCTCCCAGGGTGAGGGGGGCGGGATTGGGAGGAGAGGAGGAGGAGATCGCGGTGAACCAGCCGGGTTGCATTAATGTGCCGCCGCCGAATTTCTCCTTGCACCATTCGTATTCGGGATTTTTGGGCATGCGGTACTGACGTGAGACGGGGTCCCAGAGTGTGAATGGCGCGATGTCGCTGATGTGGCGGGCGCCCCAGTCGCCGGGGTTGGTCCATGTTGGGCGATCTAGATGTGCGTCGCTGGACTCTGCTGGGAGGCGGGGAACGCTCATCTGGAGTTATGTGGGGTGACAATTATCTGGGCAAGAAGAGCGGGTGGGTGAGAAGAAGCGGCAAAGGTAACTCTGTGTTGGATGGGAGCTGTTATGGTTATTCTTCGTGGTTAGTGGAGTTAGATAGCTTTGCAGGTCACAACAACACGTTTCGCCACCGGATAGAATTAAATATAAACCTTTATTCCTTGCAGGGAAAGTGCAAATGACAAGATCGTTCCTTCCATTTATATCTCCTGATTAATGACGCCATGGTCGTGCCCTGCCTGCCTAAACTATCTATGGAATGAGTCGAAGCTAGTGTTTAAGCCTTTGAGTGAGTCTATTTTAACTGGTTCTTGTCAGGCTAAGAGGTGGCTCTTATCATTATAATATGTAGTATTATGAGCTGTTCTACAAGTATGATACTATGACCCGCCTGCACGGATACGACTACGTACTGGGAATCACGACGGGGTGGGCTAATAATTATGGATAATTATATTCAAATGTTTTTTTAAATTATATTCCAAGTCGAACGAAGAGTCTCAAATTATTCTCCAGAAGTACAGAGCAATACATCTAACTCCCACACAACCTATCCCTGGTGAAGAGCGAGGTCCACACGAAAATCGACAGGGAAGGAGAACCAAATATAACATACATGACAAGCAAAACATCCGAGCATGAATGCTTCCTCCACAAAACTGCCAAGAAAATATATAAAAATATATAACAAAGCCCAGAGGCGAAAAATAAACGGGACGGGTTGTCGTAAACCGCAAAAAAACTCGCTCAACTAGGGCCCAATGGGCGGACGACGAGAGCGGCGTTTGTTATCGGTGCAGCTGGAAAGGCCATGAGGGTGAAGCTTGACCCTCCCGCCGGGGGGGGGGGGGGGGGGTTAGTGACAGGTTGCGGAGAATCGTGACAGGATAAGAGAATGGTGACAGAATAAAGGTATAGTGACAGGATACGGGCGTGGTGACAGATGAGAGGCATACGATGACAGGGTAAGGGCATCGTGACAAGTTATAGGGGAAGAGAGAGCGACAGACACAGATTCCGGCGAGCAATTTTGCAACCGTTGATTTTATCCCTGAGATCTCGGAGGGTTGTTAGACGTCCAGCCTACCTTCGCAAGAAAGTTCTACAATTTATATGGCCTTGACGGGCGTGGCGGCGAGGGTGAAATGTTGTGTTCGGCAAAGCTGGGTAGTTGATGGTTTCTCGGGACGTCAACTCTGGCTGTGCGGTTTGTGGAGTGAGTCGAGGCTGGTGTTTATACTCTGGGACTGGTATAATATGTTACCCGTTCCTTGTGAAGTTGGATTTATATTATCACACCTGCGCAGAGTATATAAATCTCCATTCCCTTCTCACATCCGTTGCAAATCGAATCTCTCACTCATACTACCCATATCATCCCAAATACCTCAAAATCCAAGCCCAACCATCACAACCCTCATCCCACAACTCCCCTCACCCTCCAAACCACCTCACGATCCTCCCACTCCTTCATCCCCCCTTCCACAACAAACCTCATCGAAAATCCAATCCTCTATTCCTCTATTTTATAACACCCCACCACATCGTCGTCACCACCTCACCCACCCAACCTCTCCAACCTCTCCACCCACACCCTCCCACACCACCAGCCCGGAAAAACCCTCCCCCGGGCCACACCATTTCTCGGCCCCGGCCTCCGTCCAATATTGCCTACTATCGTGAAGGCGCCCCACCTCACGATACCCTCACATCCTCATCCCATCCCGTTCCACTTGTTTTAGGCCCCTGCTTTTTATCGCCACCCCAGTACGTACCCGGATGTAACCGCTGGTTCACGATCCCCTCATTTTCCGGCGCCCGGGCAGGAGGTCCACACACACCTTTTTTCACGATGGCATCAGGTTCCACTCACACCTCGAATTTTAAGCTTGTATTCCCTACTGCAGTAGTCTGGTTTTCCTTCACGATACCTTCATCGTCGGGGCGCCGTCCCACACTTTATTAAGGTTTTTGGGTACCCAGGTACCGGGACTTGAAGAAATGAGGGTATCGTGACATGGTGGTGCTAGACTAGCCTTGTCCAAAACCTAAATCTGATGTCTCTCGATGTTTCGAGAGTGGATCAATCGATCGTGATGGGAGGGCGGCAAAGGCGGCGACCTTTCGATGTCGATTCTTATATAAACATTTGCGACGGGTGGGATTTCGAGATGTAACTATTCACACTTCCATATTCACAAAAAGTCAAAAACGTCTGAAAGGTATCAAAATCAGAGTGTATGTAATTTGTATTACCCCCCCCTTCAAATTCTTCTTCTTCTCAAATACCATATCCGTAATCTACTTTGTATATCCTCCTCTCCCACCCACCAGTTTTTCAACCCTTTTCCATCCGCCCCGCCCAAGATAGAATTAAAACGCAGGGGAAACTAAAAAAAAACGACGCCGTTTTCAGAACAAAAAACGCCCCAGTGCTGCTAGATTTCTTCCATAAAAAAAAGCAAGCTTGGATCATCTACCTCCTCCTCTTCCCATCCTCGAAGAAAACAACAGACAAGAAGCGATGCGACGCGACGCGAACAATACTTCAGAGGCACGACAAGCTGTCAGTGGATAATTTACCACAAGCTGTAACCGCCATCACACTTGATCTCGGAGCCAGTCATGAACGAGCTAGCATCCGACGCCAAGTAAACCGCCAATCCGTTCAGCTCATCCACATTCCCCAGCCTGGCCTGAGGAGTCAAGCTAGTCCAGATCTTCTTCTGCGCATCGAGCGCCGGCACGCGGTTGAGCGCCGTGTCCATGTAACCGGGGGAGATGGAGTTGACACGGATACCGTACTTGGCCCACTCAGCAGCCAGCGAGCGACCGAGGTGGACAACACCCGCCTTGGAGGCGTTGTAGCACGACTGCTCCTGGGGGTAGTTGACGATGGAACCAGACATGCTGGCGATGAAGACGATAGATCCCGGCTTCTCGGCAGCAATCATGGACTTGGCGACAGCCTGGGCCATGAGGAAGGAACCAGTGAGGTTGATGTCGATGAGGCGGCGGAACATGGCGTGGTCGTAGTCCTCGGCCTTGATGTTGGAGTCGGCAATGCCGGCGGAGTTGATGAGGACGTCGGGCGCGCCGAAGGTCTCGACGACCGCGTTGACGGCCTCGATGATGGCGCCACCGTCGCGGACGTCCACCTTGTAGAATTGCACGGGGATACCGGTGCGCTCGTGGAGCTCGGCGGCGGACTCGTCGCCGAGGGTCTGGTTGGCGTCGAAGATGACGAGGGCGCGGGCACCGGCTTCGGCGCAGGCTTCAGCGATGGAGTTACCAAGACCGCGGGCTCCGCTGGGAGATATTAGTTGTTGTTCAAAATTAAATTGTGTGGTTTTCGGGCTTGGTGATGCTTGGTGTTTTTGGTGTGGAAGTGAGAAATTCACCGCCACCACCACAAAACCAGCATCCCCAAATTCACCCGGATGAGAGAGAAAAACTTACCCAGTAACAATAACGACCTTATCCATAACGGTCTGCTTCTGGATGCTCTTGGGCAGCTTGGAGAACAGAGCCTTGCTCAACGGCGCGGCGCGGAGGCCAGCCTCCTCAGCGGGGACCTCGATCTCGGGGTCGTTGCGCACTGGGATGGTGCTGCGCTGGGGAGCGTGCGACTCTGGGTCGGCGTAAGAGGAGACTGGGATCTGCTTCTCAGCGATGACCTCGCGGCGGAGGAGACGCGCAGAGGTGGAGAGAGGGCGAGCTGCCATGGTGGCAGGGCGAGTTGCGGCCGCCGCAGCGCGGAAGACGGAGGTGCGGATTGCAGACATGTTGTATGATTTTGTATATTTATGTCGGAATGTGAGATTCGTAGAGAGTTGTATATATATATATAAACTTCTGAATTCAAGCTCAAAAACACTCTAGGGGGGAAGTGAAATTGAGGTAGGCTTCGAAGTTCACGACGACTCAACAAGTTCGAGGGGTGTGGACTGTGAAGATTTTCGAGGGGTGTTACAAAAGTTCTAGAAACGAAAATAACAACGGTCAGCTGATTGTTCACTGACACCCGCCACCGAGACAACAATGGATCTCGGGCAAGCAGTGGCGTGGGGGGAGGCGCGGAAGTGAGACTGACCTGACTCTGGGAAACTGGGGCAAATGAAGCTCCTTTGTTCGAAATTATAGAAAGATGAAGTTTGATGGTATAGATCGATTGCTCGTTCTTTTTCGTTTGTGTAGGTGGGAAACAAGATTGTTGTAAGAAGGTGGCAGCAGTGAGAGTTTGTACGACCTTTTCAAGAAAACGACCGAAGATAGCGTGTGGAAGTAGATGGATGAGAGTGGATGGAATCGAGGAGATGATCCTTTTCAATTATGTGTCGTCTTTTAGTAGTAGATGGAACGAAAGAGGGCAAACTCCGTGGTGAAGCGGGGCAGTGACGTGAATTCAAAGAGAAGACGGTTTAGGGCTTGAGGTGGATGTCGGTGAGGAGTGAGGGTTGACGGTTGAGAGTGGGAAAATATGGATTGAATAGAGGAAGGAGGGAGGGGCAGAAGGGGGGCGTTGTGGGCGAGTGGGCTTATATATGGAAGGATGGATGATCGGAAGGGTAAGGGAAGGGAGGGGGGGAGGTGGGAAGGGCGGGGCGGGGAGGGGCGGGAGTTTGTTAGTTTTTGAGTTAGTAGTATAAGTGTGTAAGAAGTTGTGGAGATATTAGTTGAGTGTGATAGTGAAGGGGCGAAGGGAGGGAGGTACTGGTAGCATTTTGGTGGGTTGGGTGAGAAGGCGACGGGGAGGTGGTGGTGGTAGGTGTGAAAAAGAGAAGGGGGAAGGGGCGCAAGGCTGGCGTGCTTTTTTTGGTGTGGTTTGGTGTGATTTGGTGTGGTTTTGGTGGTTGTTGATGGGTGGGATGGGATGGACATGGACCACAACCACCGAGTCGTGTACGTACCTTCGTCCGAGATACGTACTGGAGCTACTTGACAGACTTTCAGCACCATCCCCCTCGTAATGGCTAGCTCGAGGCCCATTCTATATTAGATTAGCGTGGATGAGCACACACTAGTGCAGTCTATGCAGTGTAGCTCGGTAGCACGGCACTCAGGCGTGTGAGCCGCAAGGTTGCGTTAGTTGGTTTCTGGGCAAAACTGCAGTTCTGTACTACTTTACTAGTCAGGGCTAGTCAGGTTTCTCGACTCTTGTTGTACCCACCCCCTGTCTACAACTACACTCCGTACACTCTGACCCACATCCCGTATCCACCATAGAGAAGAGACGGTGGCAAGGGTGTGTGGTGGTGTGTGGTGCTGTTTGGATGAGTGAGGTCGAGTCGGCACATGTACGTACAAAAACTCTACTCCTACACCTGCGTACGTACATACAGAACACAGAACAGGGCACAACCAACGGGTACTCCGAACAGCAAGTTGTACAGTACAGCAATCCTTCTTGTGTGTCCTAAAATAAAAAACCCCCGATTACTCGTAAGCACCACCCACCACGAAACCCATCCCATCCCATTCAAGTCCCGTCTTGCCTCCCCTCCATTCTTCCTTCCTTCCTTCTTCCTCTACCTCTGCGCCCTCACAGCCCCTCACGCCATGGACCCCTAAACCCATCCCCCATCTCCCGTCACCACCACCACTCACCGCATCACCCATCACGTCCACCTCACCATCGCCCATCAAAACACCCACCACCACCACCAATCCTCCCCCCCACTCCGCGCTGCAAATCGCCATCTCGCGATCCAGAAGCTTTCCCATAGCACCAGCCAGCCAGCATCAGCCTCAACGCATCCGTGCGCACCCTGCTCAGCTTCCCCTGTCTTCTTCGACAACAGGGATACGACAAGAAAGTCTTCTGGACAGAAGGCGAAACCAGAACTGCAACGAAGCCGTCCACGCACCGGGATTTCTAAAAGGGGACCACTAAACACAATAAGGCATAGTCGACGGGCTACATTTAGTATGTACCTCCCCTCCCCCCTTACCCATGTCCTCCCAGTGGCGGGCTAGACGGGGCTAGGCGGTCGGGCCGCTTAGTGGTCCGTTGAAACGCATCATGTGGTTGTTACAGAAATTTTGTTTTTTTCTCTCTTCCCCTCCCTTCCTTCTTTTCTTTCCTTAGCAGAGGAAAAAAAAATTACTAGCTTCGGTCGGGACCCGGGGGTGCGGGTTGAAGGGGGTGGGTGGGGTGGACGGGGGGCGCGGATGGATGTGCATTACGAGGGGCGTGTGCAGATGTGCGTGGACGGATGGGTGCAATATCATCTACTCCTATGGTATGGATGACTGGGCTTGGGGATGTAGATGTAGATGCCGGATATTACAACCGCAGGCGCGCGCAGTACCGGTCGGGGATACGTACCCTGATACATCACGGCGTGCAGCAGTGGTGGTGGTGTGCTGTGCTGTGCTCCAGTTCTTGGTGGTGTGTGATTAGATTAAGGTACGAACCACGACTGGCTGCGTGGCCAGAAGCGTGTCACCCGGAGGCGTTGTCTAGAGGCGTCCATTTTCTGGAAACGACGTTGGGCTGGGCTGGCTGGCTGGCTGGCTGGTGAACCGGTGTGGCTGTGGCTGAGGGCGGGATGGATGGCTATACGAATAGGCCATTTGTTAAGGATAGTGATGGATTGGGGTGGTTTATTCGTCAATTCGTCAATTCATGAGGAAAGACTGTTACACACTTCCCATATCCATCCAGGAATCCGTAACCCTACACCACCACACCCCCTTCCATGGTGCTGAAAAGCTACGTACCCACACCTCCAACCGCACAGACCAACCCACCCCGAACATCCCACAGACCACCACCTCGCTTCTCGCCTCACTCCTCACTCACCGCCATCATACTTCCCCGACCACTCTGTACCCTCATTTCCGAACCTTGGATCCCGTGCCACGCAGAAAAAATGTACGCACGGTTGTTGAGCTGCGCTGGGCTCCGCTGCACTGTCTGCCTGTCTGCCTGTCTGCCTGTTCTGCGGCGCGCTTCCTGGGTGGCGGGTGCGCGAGGGGTGGGATCCGATGGATGGGGATGATGGGGCGCGGAGATGGGATGTGGGGGAGATTGGTGGTCAGGTGAGTGATGGTGTGAGAAACTCATGGATGGGGAGAGATGAGACTATGGGGATGAGACTATGGAGATGAGATTATGGGGTTCACATGATATTGACATTATGGGGGTTCAGACTACCAGCGTGGGATGGATGGATACGAAAACGCTCAGTTGGATATTTGACAAAACGTATAGGTCTAATCTCTCCCCTCTCCCCCCATTACAGTACGTTGTAACCTCATATCTAACCATACCTTCCTCATCCATATATCCACGCATTGAAAAAAGAAACAAACCCTTCCCTTACCGTTTCCCCGTAGATCCCCCGACAACCACCAACCACCACAACCATAACTAAGCTGGTATAAAAACCGAGAGCGAGGAAGGAGGGAACAGCCGCCGGAGCACCCTCCTCCAACTGGACCTGGGAGGGGTGTCAGGAGCGTGAACAGCACGCATTCAACGCACGCACTCACGCGTACAGGCACATAAACTCATCTGTCTCACCTCACCCTCCCCCCCAGCCGAGATCGGGAATATCGATCTCGACATGCCCATCCGTACCACCTACCAATACACACACCACCAGCCTGTGTATCCATCACACCCCATATCCCTTCCTATCCCAGAGTCTCGAACCCCGTAGCCAACTCTCTAATCCAATACTATACCTGTTGTATATCTTCATAGCGGGGGACACAGAGCACGACATTTCCTATATGTGCGTTCTAGGAACGCAACACACACAAGAGGGGGGGATAAACGCATGCTGTGCATTGCATCGCACCGCATCAAGCAGCGTCGTAGTGTCGCACCACTTCACCGCCTACCGCGATCGCTGCCCTCTCTTCTCACAAAACAGACTCTTGCATGCACTGCTGCTGCGTGGGTGCTGCGAGCCTATTTTTAGCGTGGGTTTTTAGCGTGGGGGTGTTGTCTGTGTCTTGTTGTTGGAGGGGTGTTGGAAGTTGGAACAGCAGAACTGTGGGTGCAGAGTAAAGGAATCTGATATCTGACTAAAAAGGAAGGAGAGGGGGGTTTGGGCTAGACTGGCGCAGGACTACGCTTCGGGAGTCCCTACGCTATTCGGGAGCATCATCATCATCATCATCCCGTTCCCGACTCCCGTTTAGATGAACGATACCACCACCGGTGCGGAGTACACCTCTCCATCCCTCCATCTCTCCATCCTCCCCCTCCACGTCTCTTACCAAACCTCCATCCTTCCCTCCATCTTACCCCCCTACCCCTACCCCCGGACACACCTCCACCTCTGGAGTACATATGTATGTACTGTACAAGACTGAGTAGCAACGCCCTACCCAATATCCCTGTCCCCTGCGCTGCGAGCTCCGCTGCCCGCCCCACTGGAGGATATGGGGGGCTTGGCAACGCTCTTGGCGGTTTTGGTTGGATGGGTGGTTGGTGTGGGGCTGTCGAGGAAGGTTTGTTGAGGGGAGGGGGGTCAGGTGATTGTTAGAGGATGTGGGATGTGTGAGGGAGGAGGAGAAGGATGGGGGGAGGAGGACGGGGGCAGAGGGAGAAAGGGAGGATGGGGGTGATGGTGGTTTCTTCTTGGGATCCTAAGATACGGCGTGGATGGGGATTGTGACTTTGTCGTAGAGCGAGACTGGGAGTTGAGTTATAAAAAGCCAAACTATGATAATCCCGAAGTCTAAATTCTAACAATCAGACATAGAAGAGATCGTTAGACTGGACGAAGGCCGAGTTCGAGAGGAGCTCACAAAAGCTGCAAACCCCCGTGGAACGGCGAGATCCAGACGATGTGAAGAAACGCTCATATCTTGTCACCAGTGGAATTATCTTGTCACCATACCTCCGACCTGTCACCGAGGCTAATACCTGTCACCGTTCATACCCGTCACCGTCTACCCCCCCTCCCGCGTGCTCAAACCCATCTTCCATCATCACTATCGTCCCATCTGGCGCCAACGCTGGTGCACCCATTCATTCCCTTACGTTCTCTTCCTCTCAGTTTTCCACATCTGTGAATTCTGTATGGTTGAATCTTGACAAGCGCTTGGTTGGCATCTGCATGCCCTCCCCTCTCTTTCTTAAGATTAGTGTTATTCGTCTTCAATTCTGTGCGTACGCTGTTTTATTGGGTTTCTTGCTGGTTTTGTCGAAGTATGAGAGATATGCCGGGGAGCGAAGAGAGTAGGTGATTTGGATTTTATATACTCTACTCTACGCAGCTGGGATAATACCAAACCCCAGCTTGAAAAAAAAATGGGCCGGCAGTTTAACATATATCCCTCGACGGCTACAACGTATCTTTTTATCATCACTACTGTTAGAGCATTATCAAAGTCTCCAGGCCTCCAGCTATCTCTACCATCAAAGCCTCGATAGAGCCTTTGTCCCCCATCGAATACTTCAAAATGAGCATTGCACGCCTTACGCCGGAAGTGCAGCAGATCCAACAACGCGTCCCACTGATAGACACATACACGGACGCCACAGCAACTCTTCTTCGAGCAAGACCTGTTGATCAGCATGCGACCTTAACAAATGCTTCACGCTCACCCACCTCCAAAAAGGTGGACGAACCCCTCTTGGCTAGGGAGCCCGACACATCAACGACGATGCTCCATTTGACTTATGGGATGAAGCCAAAAGAGACTATCAATTTCCGAAAGGTGCTGAGTACGGCTAGCTCAGCTGAGGATTATGTGCTTTGTTCAGAGGCGCTGGGAGGTCTTCACGATTTTCTTTGCTTGGTGGTGGCGGGGAGGGGTGTGGTGACAGGATAAGGGGGTGGTGAGAGTTTGGACAGTGGTGACAGGAAGGGCATGGCGACAGGTTAGGCGCGGTGACAGGATAAGGGCACGATGAAAGGTCAGGTTGGTTCGAATTTTCTGATATATACTATCCATGTCCACCTTTTTCCGCCTTCAAGGTCTTCACCTCGTTCCCAGATGCCCTCAGCGCCGCGTCCGGCCTGGATGCAGGACGGTTTCTTGCGTCGTGGAGACTCGTCTCTCCGTGACGGTTTCATGCTTGGTTTCGGGCCCGTCGGCCTAGATCTCTTGGTCTGATAGCCTCTCTCTTGAGTATTTATTCTTTTTCTCGCTGTGTTTCTGCCTTAAGTCTCTTAGTTTCTCTACCTCTGCCTCGACCTCTCAGTCTCTCTGCTTCCATCTTAGTCTCTCAGTCTTCATATCTCTATACCCCCTTCTTAATTTCTCGGTCTCTCTCTGGGCGATCATTAAGGTTAAGCACCGGGCTCGTAGCGAGTTTCGTGGGGTGGTGGGGTGGAGAGTGAGTTTGCTGAGGGTTTGGGGTCAGGGGGGAGCCTGGTGGAGTGAAGATATGGGAGAAAATCAAGTGAGTGAGAGTAGGGCATACGTGAAGGTTTGGGTGTCTCAAGAGTGCGGTTATGCTCAATGCAGTAGATAGATCAGACATGACCAGTCGACGGCAGGCACGCACTGCATATTCAAAGGAGAGGTTTATACGGGTTATAAAAAGTTTCGTTCCAGCAAAAATAAGAGCTACTATACATCCATCTTCCCCACGCATACATACTCGGACGAAAAAAAAACGATTCGTCCATATTCTGATTCTCGCCTCCCTCCTTTCAATTCCCGTTTCCTCGAAGACGCCGTTTTCCGATGGTAAAAAAACTTGTAAACGACATAACATAACCTGTACTGTTCCTGAAAAACGCCAGTATGATCGATCCGTCGACTGGGAATGTTGTGGCCGCCCCTCACGAGCGAGGAGGCCCTGCCCAATATAGTCGCTGATTTGCTTATTCTGCGATGGCGATGAGGAGGTCTCCTAGGTATGACGCCTGTAGTAACACATATTAGCAAGCATCCTCAAACCAAAAAAGTAAAACCAAAGATAACAAAAAAAGGTAACTCACCAAACTCTTATTATGCGCAAACACAAACCACAACTCCCTCTCCACCCCCCCAAAATACCTCGCCACCTTCCTCCCCCCCCCCGCCTCCCTCTCATCCTCCCTCTCCTCCTCATCCCTCCCCACCCTCCTCAAATTCCTCGCCAAATTCCTCAGCACCAGCACAGCCGTGAGCGGAATCCCCGCCGCATCACCACGCTCATCCACCGCTGTGGACAGAAACGAGAAACTCTGCGTCGAAGCGGGGGATACCCAGCTCGGGTGCTTGAGGGAGTCGGACGGGGGGGAGGGGGGTGGGAGATGGATCTTGATGTGTGCTGCTAGTTGAGCGGGGCGGATGAGGGTGGGGTTGCGGAATTTGGTGCACCCGGGCCAGAGACAGCGGTATGTCCCTTCCTCGTTTGTGAATTTCTCCGTCTCCGTCTTCGCCGGCTTGGGTTCTGCCGGTGCGGTCTCGGTCGCGCCCTCAACGGCGGTAGATTGGGGTGAGGGAGATAGAGATGCGGTCTTCGGGACGCGGAGGTGGTGGGAGAAGATGTGCTCGAACATCTCGGCGGGCTCCATGAAGAAGCCACCGCAAGGGCGGGTGCCGGTTCCGTCGGGGGTGGGGGTTGTCCACTGGCACTTCTGGTACGGGCGCCCAGTAAGATCGACAGGGGCATCGCGGATGCGGATTCCCTTGATGATGAATTTCTGCACCGGGCCAGCCTGCACCTGGGCCGCAGCCTTGTCGGCAAAAGTCGTGCTGACGTTCTTGATGAACTCTGCGGCTGGAAGGAGGGGACGACCCATCTTATCGACTGCGTGGGCGAAGCGGGCTTGGTAGGCTTGCCAGAGGGCGATCTGGGTTATTGCCTCGTCCTTGTCTTCTTCGAAGAGGCAGCGGAGCCATTTCGAGGATCGTTCTGGTTCGTCGAGGGCGAGGAGGGCGGTTAGGAGGGGGGCGGGAATGGGTGGGATTTCGGAGGGGGGAGGGCGACGCGTGGGTGGCGCAAGGAGGAGGTCGCGGGTTGTTTCTTTGGCGCCGTAGATGAGGAGGCGGGTGAGTTGAGCGATTACGGAGGGGAGGTCGATGGAGTGCGTCATGAGGGAGACGTTGGGGAGGACGGCGGTGTATTGGTAGAGGAAGTCGAGGCAGGAGTTTACGAGGTCTTCGTCGTCGAGGAGTGTCCAGTCGAGGATGCGTTGGAGGGTGGTGGGGGGGATACCCTCGAGACGGTTGGTGTCCTCGAGGTTCATGGAGATGCGGCTGATGGCGCGGAGGGAGGTGAGGACGGCACCGCGGTCGGGCGAGTCGAGTTGCGCGAGGAGAGAGAGGTAGAGGGGGTCGTTAGCGCTGAAGTGGAGGTACTTGGTCAGTTGCTCGACGATGTCGAGGGCGTAGTGCTTCAGCTCAACAAGCGCCTCTAGGTTAGGGAGGTTGAGGACGATGCTCAGCATGTCACGTAGCGGCCGCATCTCTGACACGTAGTGCGCGTTGTCCTCCAGCATCACCATGTTCCGCAGCGTTAGAGCTGCCTCGACGACCTGTAGCATCTTGTCGCTGAAATTCTCAGGCTGGACGCTGTCATCCACGTGCTTTTGAGTAAGCTTCTCAATACGCTCTAGAATATCCGGCGTCCCCTCTAGGCCATCGAGTGTGTTCCAGTCGCGCTTTTTGCCATCGTCGGGATAGACCACCTGCCACGTAACGTCATAGAATAGAGAGCTGACTTCCAAAATTTTATCAACCAGTGCCTCTGCCAGACCCGCAAACGACTCAAAGCGGTACTTGTCACCACGCTCCATCGAGATCTTGACGAGATGGTGGAGCGCGTAATCCTGCTCTTCCTGAACCCCAGATTTAAGTGCCAGTAGACAGCGGACGTAGATATTTGGCCCGTCAAAGCCAGTACCAGGGAGCATGATCCGTGCGCTCGGAGCCGGTCTGGCGAGAGGATTGAGTAGCTGCTCTTTTGCCGCACGTATACGTTTGAATTCGGACGGGTTGTTCGCTGGTGTAATGACGGGGCGGAGCGTCAATGGCATCTGAGGCCGCGGTTCGTAGTTCGAGACAGCATGTGAGAACGAATCTGGGTTCGATGAGGGGTTATAAGATGTAGATGCTCCTCGTGGAGGAAGCGGCGCGGAACCAGGTGGTAGGAGGTTGTGTCTTTGACGTGAAGGCGCAGTATCTGGCTGAAAGAGGACTCTCTGTGGAGGAGCCTGTCGCAAGCCTCTTGTTGCTCGTCCTCCACTTCCAGGTGTTTCCTCACCAACAAGGTCTCTCACAGGTGTTCCATCATCCCCAGACGCTTCTGATCCCTCCAATCCTAACGCGTTCGTCTCGCGGCGGCTCGCAGGACGATAGTTCTCCACCGTTCGCTCCAGCAAGCCCCCACCCTTGGCTGTAACATCTTCGAGAATCTCTTTTGGGGGCGGCTCTTTCCCATGGATAGTGGATATCTCGTACGCCGCAAGATTCTTGTAATAAGTCGACTTCAGACTGAATGCGAGGGCTGGGAGGTTGGCTGTGCCCAGGTTGAAGTCCTGTCCCATTTTGCGCCACGCCAATTTCTCGTCGCTGACCTTGTCATATCCTCCCCGCTCAACCACCGTCTTGAAGAGCTGCAGCAGGTCGACATGCTTATTCCCGACGCGGGGTTCCGGTTCGAAATTGGTCCCCCGCTTCTGGTGATAAGCCGTGAGGTTCGTGATGAACTCATTGTATTGCTGCTGGTAATTGGCAGAGGTTTCCGCAGGTGGCGCCATGGTGTGAAGAACGGGGCGCGAGAAGGCGATACTGCCGCATGCGATAAAAGCCGAATGTCACGGGTGGCCTAAATCTGGCAGCACAATTGGTTTGCGTACTTCTGTCTTGCGACGCGGTTTGGTGAGCTCGAGAATATTACACGCGACAGCCGCAGCAGACATGGATCACGCTAGTGTCTATGTCACGTGCTTTGGAAGCCGGATTCGGAATTGGAGTTTTGACCCTTTCGGGACGGGAGGGAGGTGCCTGGGATAGGAGGTTCCAGTTCAAGATACGTACCATATAAACCGCGGTCTAGAATTTCTGGTTATGGTGTTTCCACAACGCGGATTGCGACTTTTGATCTCTTATCATGAGGTTTTACGTGTGTTCTCGTGTGCTATATTTGCTAAATATCTAAAATAAATATGAAACGATTTCATATAGTATCCCAGGTTATATAGAATCCCAGATAATGCAACTGGAATGTGATGATTGTCTTTGCTCTTTGTTGAAGCTTGAGGATTTGGGTGAAGATAAACGCCCCTTAAACTGGTAACATCATACGTCATAGAAGTCACCCGTAGATCCACAGGAAACCGACCAAACAACCTGGCTACTAGTCTTCGACATGGAATCCTCTCTTGTGACGGGTTCATATAGCAACAATATATTCCAGATACCCTTCAACAACCCTACAACTGTCCAGATATCTTTTATCAACACTTCTCGATACCCTGAATCCCATATCTTCGCTCGACAAGGGATCCATCGTCCGATTCACCCCACTTTGGCCTAACAACGAATCCAATTTGCCAGGATAGCCAAGGTACGCACAGAGCACACCCCAACAAGCTCCATGAGATTCCCCCCCATGGAGATCGCGGGGCGGTGACCATACTCTAATCTATATTTCCATCATATCTCCAAAGCTTCATATTGTAAATCTACGCAGCCATGAGTCTCCCAGTCCGAACGCTGACAAAAACGCTACGCAAGTCGCCTACAGACATGGTTTCGCACCCCGCAGAAAAGGCCGTAGCGCCGACACAGCTGCCAACTCGCCAAAGTACCGGCGCAAGCGGGTTGAGCGACGTAGCAGTGCCCGAGACGGACATCAGAGAGGCGAGTTGCTTCCGTTCTTGGCATGGCCATCCGATACCCCGAAGAATAGTCGCTGATATTTAGTAGACCTCCGCTCTTCTCGAAGAGCGTCTGCGCGCATGGAAGCATGCAGTTGGATACCTTGAGGAGTACATCAGTGCGACTGAGAAGGCCCAGAAGGCACATGCGAAAGAGTACGAGAAGGTCTTGAAAGTGAGAACATCATTCTAATACTTCCCGAGTAACCAAGCTAACATTCATACCAGACCATTCAAGATCCATTGAAGGAGGGTTCTCATTTCGACCAGAGTCTTGGCGGTGTCGCTGGGCTCTTTGAGAATATGAGAGTAAACACCGAGGTGAGCAACTCCCAACTGCATCCCCGTCATGTAGCAACATGCTAACAACTCCATCTCAGAGCTTGGCCAACTCCCATCTCGAAACCGAAAAGAACCTCAAGGGCACGGTTCTACCGATCCTCGAGCGTCTTCACAAGGAGATCAAGAACAAATCCAAGGAGATCTCGTCTGGCGTTGGAAAGGCGGCCAAGGAGATCGAGAAGTCGCGCAACACGACTCAGAAGCACATTGAGCTTTTGGGCCAGCAGAGCGCTGCTGCTGAATCGTCCGGGAGCAAGGTCAACTCGCACGACGACCCATATATCACCCAACGAGGCATTTACTACCGTCTCCACAAGCAGATCCTGGAGGAGAACAACAACCGCCACGACCTGATCAGCGTTCAGGAGAACTTTGCTACCTTTGAGCAACACGTTGTTGAGGTCATCCAGCAGGCCATGGCGTCGTTCGTTCAGTACGTCGGCGGCCAGGTTCAGCGTAACCAGAACGCGTACACGGACATGTTGAGCAATGTCCAGCGCATTCCTCCGGACTTTGAGTGGAACGGCTTCAAGCAGCGTGAAGCTGACACCCTTGTGGACCCTAGCTCCGCACCGCGCTCCATCGAGGGCGTCACCTTCCCCAACCAGAACCACAAGTCCACACAGCCATTGCTCGAGGGCACTCTTGAGCGCAAGTCCCGCAACATCCTTTCCAGCGGCTACTCCACTGGATACTACGCCATCACCAACGCCCTGTACTTACACGGCTTCAAGGACAACGACAACGTGCGCAAGGACCCAGAGCCGGAGATTTCCATCTACCTCCCAGACGCCGTCGTCGGCGTGCCGAATGGCGAGAAGTTCCATGTCAAGGGCAAGGACGTCTCCAAGGGTTTCAGCAGCAAGCTCGCCGGAACATCCGAGCTCAACTTCAAGGCCCATACCGCCAACGATGCCGAGAAGTGGGTTGAGGTTATTAAGATGGCCGCCGGCGCGAACGCCGCGAGGGCTCCGTACTCCTCGGGCCCTTCATCCCCCATCTCTCCTACTACCCAGAAGCAGGCTAGTTTCGGCTCGATAGCTCCAGCTACCGCGGCTGCGGAGACGAAGGCGGTTGAGGCGGCCCAGGAGGAAGGTGTCACGGCTGCTCACCCTACCCCATTGAAGATTGAAGAGGGGAAGACTGTGGCGAGCCCGACGGCTGTGGCTCCTTCGGCGACGGGGGCTGTTGTTGGGACGGATAAGGCTACGAAGCCCCCTTTTGAGTAAATACCCGGGGCGGAAATTGTTTGACAGATAGTCCTATTGGTTTTATTACCTAAGTCCTTTTCTATGTGCTTGCTTTTTGAGTAATCTTGATGAGTTTAGCCGGTGGTTGTGTCGCATATGTTGAGTAATTTGAATAGCAACTCTCATTGATTGTTCTACGCCTCTGTCTTGTCAACTTGTTGCTCCTTAGACCCCCTTTGAAATCGATAATCCCCGCTAGGTTCTGTATTAGTAAACCAAGAAGCATATTACTCTGAATATATCCTATTTGAGGTAATCACAACGATTTGCTGTACAGTTTAAGGGTCCAGGAATGGACGCTTGCGGTCACAAAAGCTTAAATTTACCAGCCGTTGTCTCTGAAGCCCAGAGCCCTCCAGTTCACACACCCCATTTAAACAATATAAACTTACCAAACCCCATAATAAGCCCCATCTGAAATAACAAGCGTCTCCAGCACCTCCCTTTGAATGCCCACACGTGACCAATGCACCGCCACAGCACCCCAAACACCCGCCACAAAACGCGGGGGTTCGACGCTAGTCCTATCGTGATGACGACCATCCTCACCGCAGAGCACCCAGCCAGGCCAACGGTCTTCAGCACGCTCGCGACCTCCTCACCCTCACCTCCATTCCCGCGCCCCGACAGCAACCACGCCCACGCCCACGCCCACGCCCGCCCCCAGCACCACCGCAGCACACGACGACGAGCGCGGCGCCCATTGCAGGCGTCTGAGGAAGAGATGGCTTCGCAGCTGGAGACGGTGTCGGCGTTTGTGGAAGGCGCGCCGCCGGGAGAGGTAGCTATGCCCCCACTGTTCTGCTGGAGTCTGATGGGGGGTTAGCTGACTTGTTTGTGATGGTAGTTGGGTGATGTTATTGCAGGTACGACATTGTGAGGGTGGACATTGGGGTGATGAGACTGATTGGAAGTAGATATCAAGGCGCTTACGGTCGAGAGCCCGGAGCTCATCGGCCAGCTTGGACCGGCGTTTGAGAAGTACAATGAGGAGCAGTTTGCGACTGTGAAGTTGCCGGGGGGAAGCCAACAGGTGTGTTTTTCGAACTGTGGAGAGGGAGGACGATTGGAAGGGGGTTAACTGGTGGGTTGTAGGTTATTGTGAGCTCGCACAACTCGCTGGGCGATGGACGATACTTTGATGTGGAGAACTCGTCCAGTTTTGAGTTCGATCATAGCACACAGGTATGTCTACTACGATGACTGCGCAGGGGATATGGTCTAATTAGGGGTTATAGAAAGCAAGCAATGTCCAGAGCTACGTGCTGGAGAGCGCCAACTCGGACCTCATGTAGGTGGATACCCTGTTGATACTATAGCCTACGCTGATCCCGCGTAGCAAATCGCTCATCAAGAGCTTAGCAAAGCATGCCGAGGACCATTACCCGAACTCATCATACGGTGTCTACCCTATTGAAGACGACTCGAAGATTGCCATCCTCCTGGTCGCTAACAAATACAGCCCCAACAACTTCTGGTATGCCAGTTCTATCTCTCAATGAGTGTCTTGTTGAGAGTGTGGCTAACCAGCAATAGGAATGGCCGTTGGCGCTCGCTCTACATTCTCTCGTCCTCCTCATCTCTCGTCGGCAGCATCAAGGTCGATGTCCACTACTACGAAGACGGCAACGTGCGACTACTGACTACCAAACCCGTGTCACTGTCGGTCTCGTCGAGCACGGCTACATCCATCGTCCGCGAGATTGCTGTCGCAGAGAAGAAGTACCAGGAGAACCTGAACAAGGGATTCACCAGCCTCAGCGAGGGAGCATTCAAGGGACTCAGAAGGCAACTGCCCGTTACCAGACAGAAGGTGGAATGGGACAAGATCGCAGGATACAGACATGGTCGTGGTATCGCCAAGTCGGCTGAAGGGTTCTAGAGTTGTGCAAGCAAGCGGGGGATGATTTATGCTTTATACCAAGTATATAGATGTGGTATAAATTGGCATAAAATGTTAGTCTACTCCGTAATCCGTCAGGTCAATCAGTTTTCATGATGCCAGAGCCAATCAGCGTGTCTTTGGATTTGATGACTTTTGCCAAGATAAGGGGAAAACAAACACCCGAGGAATTTAGAGAGGAAGTTAAACTCAGTCAGGCCACCAGGCCACCAAACCACGCAAAATCACGGCTACAGGCCACGGAAGCAGCCCGCGACCAGGCCACCACTCACAAACCACGCTACACCCCATTGGCCCCATCAATTTTCACAGGCCGAGCGAGTAAGGGACATCCTTTCAGCTCCTCAAAGTACGATACCCGAATTTCAAAGCACCGTACGACCAGTCGATTGTTTTCCCCAGATTTCCATTTTGGTTTACTTGTCTTCTTCTTATCCCGAGCAATTGCCAACCCACCATCATACTCAGCTGCCCATCCCCCAACGAGACGAATATCGAAGTCAGAAAACCCGCAATAATCGAACCAGATCATAATCTCCTCAACACTTTTTAAGCATCATGTCTCAAGAATTTACTTTCGCCGAGGTTGCGAAGCACAACACCAAGAAGGATATCTTCCTGGTCATCCACGATAAGGTCTACGATACCACCAGCTTCGTTGACGAGCACCCGTAAGTGCACCATTTTTTCGAAGTCTATATCTACAAATTTCAGTTGGGGCGTCAGTCAGGAAGGGCGCAGTGGACAGCCGCCCCTTTGATTGTCGCGGGAATAGGGCTCTCAGGCGCACAGTTGTAGTTTCTAGTGCTGGTGGCCCATTGCCTCTGTGCGAAATTAGCTGCCCAGGCTGTTACCCCTTTACTGCTGCGGATTACTTCTACCATCACTGCAGATCGCGATACTAACTATATCACAGAGGTGGAGAGGAGGTCCTTCTCGACGTTGCCGGACAAGATGCCACTGAGGCTTTCGAGGATGTTGGACACAGCGACGAGGCCCGCGAGATCCTGACTGGCATCGAGGTCGGCACCCTGAAGCGCATGGTACGCAACCCCCCTAAACTCGCCCCTAGCGACCCCCGTCGTATTCGGAAAAAGCATCTTTACTAACTCCCCCTCCCAGCCCGGCGACCCGGCACCAAAGGCCCAGCCATCCTCCACCACCGTCCAGCCCGCCGCGACCGGCATGGGCAGCGTAGCCCTCTACTTCATCCTGGTGACTGGTGGTGCGGCCGCGTTCTTCGCCTACAAGTACCTCCAGGCCCAGCAGTCGCAACAATAAATTTCTTGACGGCGACAATGGCGGCGCCGGGGGCGCGTGACGGGATATATGAGGGGGGATGGGGAGGATGGGGGAGGGAGGACTGGGATGGGATGGGCGCATGCGAGGGTTTATACACGTTGAGCAAGCGCACATGGCCATGAACGCGAGCGATTTAGCAGCACACAAAAGGCACACTTGATGCGCTTTCATCTTAGATAGTGTAATAGACTTGGGATTTCTTTTAGACCGATTTCCTTCCTTTGATTGGGATTTATTAGGTGCCGCTGGGAGACCGGGAGGCTGGTGCCGAGGAGGGCTAAATATCAGACGTACACACAATCCTTCATTTTTTATTGTCGGACTTCCCCCCATTCTACCATAGTGGCAAAGGGGTTGCCGAGTGGTGATGCCGTGTAGTGATGCCGTGCGGTGATGCCCCGCACTTCGTTGTAAATACCACTTCAGCCAAGTTCAAACAGTTCCGCATTGCCTACAATGTAAAATAGTACGGTGCCTCTTTAGATTTTGAAGTATTTCCTGATGTGTTGCTATGGTCATGGGTTACTTCTCCTGTTAAGACATACGTGATCCGCGTTTAACTCCCGCCCCGCTGTCTAGCAACTTCGAATCACGAACCCGAAATCATGCCTCAAAATAACCTAACTCCATTAGTTAGTAAACGAACGGCCCTAGAATCAATCAAGATTTCTTCTTCGTGTGGATTCTTTCGTATTGAGGCGCACGCCTGGGGGTTGTTGCACCGCCACTTGGCCCAGCAAAACCGCGTAATCAGTGACGAGTTGGCCAGTGACGTGCAGTCGGCCGCTAAATGCGCCCACCCCCCGCTAAAGAAGCTTCCAAGCGACCGTGACCGCCGACAATGCAAGGCTTCCAGCCTCTTTCAACAAACCAGACACGCATCTCCTTGATATCACCCCAACTTCCCCACGGCGTATAGGAACCGCATCACGAATACGCCATCATGTTTCGGGCTCAGCAGAATGCCTTCGACGATGTTGTCGGTATGTATCCCTCCTTTGATGGCTGGGTTCGTATCCAGAAAGACTGACGGGAAGCTCCTATAGCCAAGGCAACCGACGAGAACCTCACGTCTGAGAACTGGGAGTATATTATGGATGTGGTCGACAAAGTAGGATCAGAAGAGAGCGGCGGCAAGGATGCCGTGGCAAGCTTGATCAAGCGACTGGCGCATCGTAATGCCAATGTGCAGCTATATACACTGGAGGTAGGCGCGTCGCCACACTTATAACTCGGAGTCGCCCTGACATCATATAGCTCGCGAACGCCCTCAGCCAAAACTGCGAATCGAAGATACAGCGAGAACTCGCCTCGAGAGCCTTTACCGATGCCCTGCTCCGCCTCGCAAACGACAGAAACACGCACCAGCAGGTGAAAGCCAAGATCTTGGAACGCATGGCGGAATGGGCAGAGATGTTCAAGAAGGACCCGGATTTGGGAATCATGAATGAGCAGTACCACCGACTCAAGAGCCAGAATCCGAATTTACACCCTCCGTCGGCGCCGTCGAAGAGCAGACTCACAGATGTTGATCGCAAGAAGGAGGAGGAGGAGCTGCAGATGGCTTTGAAGCTGTCTATTCAGGACAAGGGATCTCAACCGGCTGCTCCTGCACAGCAAGCGGCGGCATCGTCTTCGTCGCAGGCGCAGGCACAGGGCCCCGCAGCAGCACAGCCTGTTCCTTCAGGGACGACTGCAGCGACTGTGTCTCGTGTGCGCGCGTTATTCGACTTCCAGCCATCGGAGGATGGCGAATTACAATTCCGGAAGGGGGACATCATCGCCGTTCTAGAGTCTGTGTATAAGGACTGGTGGAAAGGATCACTGAGGGGCCAGACCGGCATCTTCCCATTGAACTACGTCGAGAAGCTGTCGGATCCAACTCCAGATGAGCTTCAGCGAGAGGCGCAGATGGAGTCGGAGGTCTTTGCGGAGATTAAGAATGTCGAGAAACTGCTCACATTGCTCAGCTCGTCGACTTCTGAATTACGTGGCGAGGATAATGATGAAATCACTGTATGTATCATGGGGAAGTGCCGCTATACTTTGCTAACTGTACCAGAAACTCTATCATTCAACTCTAGCAATACGCCCTAAGCTCATAGAGCTTATTGGAAAGTATTCTCAGAAGAAGGGTAATTATTATCTACCATTGTCCTTGATACCGAAGCTAACCTCTAATAGACGACTTTACTCAACTGAATGAGAAGTTCATCAAGGCTCGCAGAGACTACGAGAGTCTACTAGAGACATCGATGTCCCATCCACCTCAACCAACTTATGGGTACGGTCGACCACCCCAGGCCCAGCAGTACGGCGCCGCGCCCGGTGGATATCCCCCGCAGCAAGGCGGCCCGCCAGCGCAGGATCCTCAAAGATACTATACTCCTAATCCGCAAGGTATATAGACTCAATTTCATTAATTCAGCATCCTTGTCATGAGAACAGCTGTTGAATTATTTCCAGACCAACGCCAACAACAATACCCGCAACAACCCACATCGCCCGTTTACCCATCTGGCCAGACCGTGGCACCGTTCTACGTCGTCCCTCCTCAAGATGCCCAGCAACCGCCGCAACAGCAGCATCAGCAGCATCAGCACCAGCAACAACAGCACCAACCACAACATCAACCTCCCCAACATCAACAAACTCCCCAGTACCCCCAAGACACTCCACAGTACCCTCAAGATCAGCCCCTCCCCCTCCGCACCGCATCGACCACATCCAACATCGCACCGCTCCAACCTAATTCCCCGCCCCCTAACCAAGGCACTCCCTACCCCCTCCAACCCCAAACGGGCCACCGCCCACAGAGCACCTACGCCGACCCCCAAGAGTTAGCAACATCAAGCTACTCCCCCATCCAACAACACCATCCCAGCGACCCATACAGCTCTACCCCCGCCTACCCCCAAGATCCCTACAACGCCGTCTCCCCCCTACCCCAAACTGCCCAGCCTCACCAACCCCAATACTCCGCCTACGCCCCTCCCCAGCAGCAGCAGCAGCAGCAGCAGCAGCAGCATCCACAACAGCCCAGTCAGCCGCCTCCACAACCCACCTATGAGCCGCCAACCCCAGTGCCGGCCCCGCTGCAAGTAAACTCTGGTTTTGCGGCACAGGACTCGCGCCAGACGCTTCCGAGCCAGGGACAGCAGGGGCAGGGACAGGGATATATGCCGTATAACCGCCCCGACTCTACTGGGAGGACATCGGTGGGGCCTCCGAGCGCGCCGCCTGGAGGAGGGCCGGCGGATTTCTATCGCCAGAGTACGGCGTACTAAGCGTGGATTAGTTTCGCGGAGGGATAAAAAGGGGAGAAGGGTGTATATAACTTCACGGATGAGTGGGGAGGTATGGAAGTGAGATTTAGCGCGTTGCGTTGATACATTGAATTAGTTGTCGTCGTTGATTTGGGAGTGGTTTGAAGGCGCGAGACGTGGTGGTTGGCGGCGGTTATGATATGATACCTGTTGACATGAGCAATTCGATTTGGTCTGCGCGGTTGGAGAGGTGATGTCGATTGTGCCATTAGCCAGAGCGGGTTCTGGGGAGCTGCGAGTACAGATAGGTCTGGCGTTTTTGCAAGATGCGATGTAATTCATCTTTTTTTCAAATTACATGTTGGGTTTCCATTGCTATGCTGAGCCTTGATTGAAATATGCTAGTTTGTTTTTGTTCGCGTATGTACAGGTCACAAATGCCACCCTCACACCCACCAGTGCACACTTGCTCCATAAAAACCAATCAATGCACCAAACTCTCCTCAAACAACTTCCTCAACTGCTCCCTCTCCTCCCCCAACTCCTCCGCCAGTCCAGGCGCAAGCATCAGTACCCTCTTCTGCGGAATCGTCCCCTCAACAAGCTCATCAATATGCTCCTTCCCGAATCCCAGATCCTTCAGCCCCCTCGGCTGGTCACCTAGCTCCTCAAGAAACTTCGCAATAGCCTCTGACAACACCTCACCAGCGCTCTCGCGCTTCACGTTCGAGATGTCCACGCCGAAGGCCTCGGCGGCGGCTAGATGGCGCTCGGGGTTCGTGGCGCCGGTGAAGCGGAAGACGGCGGGGGCGGTGACGGCGACGGAGACGCCGTGGGGGATGATGGGGTAGGGGACGTTGTAGCCGGTGTGTTTGTATCCGCGGTTTTGGCCCGAGACGGGGTAGGACATGCCTGTGATTCGTGTCAGCGACGAGAACGGGATGGGAGATAGGAGGGGAGGGGGGAAGGTACCGTGGCAGAGATGGACACCAGCGTTGCCGAAACCGACACCGGCAAGCGTGGCAGCGAGGAGCATCTCGCTCTGCGCCTCATGGTCATCTGGGTCCCTGACCGCGCGGGGTAGGTACTTAACCGTTGACCTGAGAGCTTGGAGGGAGAAGATATCACTAATTGGATTTGCGCCCTGGTACGCGGGGCGATTAATCGGGTTCTGCGGGCGGGGAATACGCTCATTGTACGGGATAGCAGTCCAGCTCTCAAGACTGTGGCAGAGGACGTCTAGGCCACTGGAGGCGTGAACGGCGGAGGGCATGGTGCGTGTGTTTAGCGGATCGCATATTCCCAGCGTAGGCTTGAGGGCACGATGAGCGACGCCGGTCTTTGCGCGCGCGGAGGCGAGGTCGAAGATGGCGGAGCCGGTGGTCTCGGAGCCGGTGCCGGCGGTGGTGGGGACGGCGATGAGGGGGAGGAGGGGCTTGTCGATGGGGAGGCCCTTGCCGAGGGGTGCGTTGACGAAGTCGAGGAAGTCGGCGTTGGGATAGCAGGTGTACAGGTTCATGAGCTTGGCGGTGTCGATGACGGAGCCGCCGCCGACGGCGAGGAAGGCGTCGGGGGCGTAGGGCTTGACGAAGGCGATGGCTTCTTTGATACTGGTGGGTGATGGTTAGTTGTGGTCAGGTAGGAGTGGGAGGGACTTACGAGGTGTCCTTTGGCTCAACTCTGACGCCGTCATAAACTATGTAATCGATTCCTTCTTGGTCCAAGCCTTCTTGGACTTGCTTCATAGCATTGAGATGCTTGACCGTGCTATCAGTGACAACGCAGACACGCTTGGCTCCCATGTTCTTGAAATCCATGCCGACTTCCTTTGTTACACCGGGGCCGAACCGGATAGAAGAAGCGGCCATCTCGAAGGCATACTCTTTCTGGCGGGACAGGTCCACGGGAGTGGCATAGTTACGCTGCAGATTCCGCTTGGCATGGCTGAGAAGGCTGTTTGACGGCTTATGATGATGGTGATGAGACGGATTACCGTGGCAAGGACAGCTAGGGGGGTGAGTATATTGGACTGTGCGAAGCAAACTCATTGCCCGCGCCGCTTTCTATGGATGATGTTACTCCAAGTGATCTCGTGCCGAGGCTACGTAACAAGGATACTACTTACAGTGGGCGCAACACGGATAGCAGAAGCCATTTTGGAGGAGATATTTAGTGATTATAGGATATTTGTTAAAGAAGAGGAGTAGTAATAAGAAACTATAAAGAGGGGGAGGGGAAGGGGTTTATAAATGGGGTATAAGCGGAGAGAGTAGGGCTGTTATGGCCGTATTGCCGGGTTTGAAATGCGGGGGAACTGGAGATGGGGCCCGATTTGGAGAAACCAAGACGCAACAAAGCAAATGGAGTGTGGGGTACAAGCGAAACCGAGGGTGAGTCGTGCGGGGTAAGGTACCGCCAGCACATACCACCCCAACTCCGCACCAAAGACACAAAGACTGGGGAAGAAACAACTTCTCTATCAGTAATAATAAACATAACGATGCTCAAAAGTGTATATCGTGGGAATTGTACTGTATATCAGCATCTCCTCCATAATTTATCGTACTAATACTGTACACACAGCTCATGCGTCGGTAATCACATATCAAATTCCAGCAAAGTAGCGTCAATCGTCATTTCAACACAAATCTCCAACTACTCTGAGCGCGAAGATAACAACGTATCGTGCTCACTCATATACTGCTCGCCGTAGACAACGGCCCTTGAGCCGCCCAGTCGCTATGCATCCTATCCGCGCCTTAAACCCCATACGACAAAGAAACCAGACCCGTGGATACTGACGGTATCCAGCGCCAAACACCCCATGCTCCCAAACGAACGTGTCCTCCTTATGTACAATACTATATCCGTCTCGCTGCCTCGCCATCTCACCACATATCTCCGTCCTTATCATGATCATAAGCCCCTTGCTGTTGATTATCGTACTGGTAATACTGCTGCTGCTGCTGTTGCTGCTGCTGATGCGAATATTGCCCCTGTCCAGATTGCGAATAGTCGTCGCCGCCTTGCCTTCTAGACGCCTGCCGTGGTTGGTGTTGGCCCCCACCGTCATCCTGGTGGTCGTAATCATAGATCTGAGAATCATCAACGTAAGTCACAGTTTCCGATGCATCGTGTTGCTGTTGCTGGTGGTGTTGTTGTTGTTTATGCTGATGCTGATGCTGATGCTGCTGCTGTTCCTGCTGGTCTGATGGAGAGTCGGCATAGTTAGCGATTCCCTGGAGTCGGTTAGTATTGCAAGCATCATCTGTGCCAAATGGCTGTAAATCTTACCTGATGATAGTCATATCTGTACTGTTCACTTTGCTGTTGTTCCTCCTCTTCGCGACGCGCGGCCTCTTTGGCCTTGCGCTCTGCTTCCTGGGCCTTCTTCTGTGCTGCAGACTGCGGTACCTGCACATGAGGATGCATCTGCTGCACCTTGGCCAGGTAGGCATACATAAAATTGCTTAGCAGCACTTGACTATGCAGTGGTCGCCTCGGGTTGGCCAGCTTGATGTGCGCCATACGGTAGATGGCGCGTTCTTCCAAGAGAGAAAACCTTGTCCAGCTGTAGTCGACGTCAGGACGAAGATACCTTGGCGGTTCGGGTGATAGAGCGCGTAGTGAGGCCGATTTCTTCCCTCCTGAATCGCGCTCCCCTTTCTTCTTGCCACCAAATAGAGACGAAAACAACCCGTCTTTTTCTTTCTTCTCCTCTTTGCCGGCTTTGCGGGAGCTCTCTTTTTTCCGCTCGTCCACCAATTTGTTTTCAAAACTTTCCCTCTCCTGGTGTAAGCTCTCCCTGCCCCGTTGAGCATTTGACTCAATCGAATGTTGTAATACATCGAGACGAGCACCGTCATGAGTTTTCTCCAGGCTGACCTTGGCCTTGCTCTTTTTAGACGATTCGTCATCCTTCTTCTTATCCTTCTTATTCTTATCATCACTTCCCTTGAACCACCCCCATCCTTTCTTAGAAGTGGTCGACTCATTATCATCCTTGTCCCTTTCTCTATCTTTATGGGTCTTTACTTCCGGCTTCTTCTCCTCGACCACTGTAGGGATGAACGTTAAGCTATCTGTTCTCGAGCTGCTTCCAGGCAGTGGTGATGGTGATTGCGTTAATTCGTTAACCAGGTTTGCCTTGGAAGATTTGGGAACTGCGTCGCCGGTGGAGGAAACCTGCCTTGCCACACCTGGCCGCCTGCTAGAACGAGGCGGAGGCTCTGTCGGTGGTTGCTCTGCGGCCTGTGGCTGGTTAAAGGATGACGAACGTTCAGGGAATGAGTGGTGGGTAGGCGATAGAGGTTCTTCTAATGGCTGTTCGTCTTCAGGAGGTGTTTCAATTATTTGCGGCAATGAAACATCAGATCGGTGAGATTCTGTTCGCGACAACGTTTCTTCACCGAATTGTACGTCCTGGTCGGTCAATTCATATTTTGACCCTTGTATCTGATCAGAATCTTTGTCCTCTATAGTAGGGCCTCGCCGGCGGTTCGGGCGTGAGAAATTCTCAGAAACAGGTTCGGACATAACTCGTTTTACCCCTGGACTTGTAAAGGGATCATCCCCATCCGCCTCGACCTGCCTTGCTCCGGCTCGTTTCGAATATGGTACACGCTCTCCTCTTCTAAGGCTGCCTTTGCGATAAGTCGTATGTGTGGATCGTCGCAGTCCGAAACCTGGCGCAGCTGGGAGTATAGGCATATCCTCGTCTACTGGAACTTCTGCTCCTGCGTCATCGTGTTTACCCCTTTCCATTGACAGCTTTTGGAAAGCCTTTGCGGGGTTTTTAACGAGCTCGTCCAGCTCTGTTAAATCAGACATCTTTATTTCATTTCCACCCTGGGAAAGCAACGATCTCCTTCGTTCGAGCTTGTCAGCTCCATCTTGATAACCCAATCCGCCCTTTCCTCCAGAGTTGTCTATTTGCCGTGACAGCATAGACTTCTTCCTCCGCAAACTACTCGCAGACCCAGACCGCTCCAGGATGTCCGGTACCAACGTCGAATCTCCCGATCGCCTCTTAATAGTCTTTACACGGGTTTCCAAGAACGACTTGAACTCCATGGGCGCCAGCTCTGGGTGAACCCTTGCAGGCACCCAGAACAGTCGTGATGGATCATCTTCGTCGTCTCCTCCGGTCGGAGCCACCGATGGCATTACAGGGCGCCCTTGGAACGTAGGCAGATCGGGGTCGCTGGTATTTCCCACATCCATCGACATGCGTCGTAAAGCTTGTAGGTTACTCAACTCTTGCGCTACAGCGGCGGGGTTTGATTCATAGTCGATGTCATTTAGAGGGAACTGTTGGTTGGCCGTGTCGGACATAGAGTGGCCATCTCGCAACGAGTGGCTCGGAGAAGGCGGCGCAATATCAACAACGGCATTCCTATGACTTGGAAGCGCCGCTGGCAGTGTGTGTGATTTCCCAGCCGGGCCGCCATTCACTTGTAGCTGAGGTCTTGGCGCAGTATTTCGTCTGCCTGCCAGCGGTTCTGTTGTCCAATTCGAGTTCGAGAAATAGGCTTCATCGGACTCAGGCGATTGATTCAGAGGAGAGCTGATAAAGCTCAAGGGTCGGGATTCGCGTTTCCAGTCGTCATCGTCTCCGTACATGTCTCCGATCGCTTCGGTGACATGATGGTTTGTGTCGCTGATAGAAAGTTGAGCTCCATGGCGACTTCTGCTCTTAAAGCTTCCTCCCAGCTCCCGCGGTCTAGGTGTTGCCTGCGATAAAAGAAACGTAAGTCAGTCAGGAAGTCAACAAGGCAGCCGGTCAAGGCTCAAGAGTCAGCCTGGTCGCGTGGGTTGCGGCAGCGCCGTCCATATTGAGCCGGGCCAGACCCAGAGAGACAGATTTTTATTCCCAGATTCTAGATTGTGTACGAACCTTCATAGAGATACCGATAAATCCGACTTGTCAATCAGGGATTCTCTTGTTGCTCGGCGAAAGACCACCGAAAGCTGGTTAGGTCGCGGTGGTGGTGGTGATGCTCATTTGGAGGACATGAAGGTGCGGTCGTCGTGAGGGCTGGGGTCGATCATGGGTTCCGTCACTCCAGGTTTTCGATAGCAACCACTTCGCGAAACTTATGCCGAGTTATACAAAGATGTCGCAGTCCCGGAAGTTGGAAGAAGCATCAATCAGTAACGCTGGGGGGGTGGCCTTAATGATGGTTTGGAGGAAACCCATGCCCCCAGGCTTGTTTAGCGAGAGGACCGTTTGGTCCGTCTTCCTTCTGTTGACAGACCCCTGCCTTATACAACAATAGAATATCGGGCACAGTCCCTTGCAGTCGGTGGTACATGGCGCTGTACAAACAGTTTGAACTCATACAAACAAATCGTAAACAAATGTTAAAGAGACCTCGGTGTTTTATCCGTCACTGTTTCATACCGCATATATTCTCGATTTCTTCATAGGGATCGAGGCCTTCCATGACGAATTGCCAAGCCTGTCCCTTCCTGGTGCCTCATTTCACCCTTCTACTGGCGCTTATTAGCTGTGCCGTCCTTGTATCAGAGGTTATAAAATAGCCAGCTCTAATCATTACAGCGTCGCATCGATTATATCTTTTACGGAGAGTAAGTCTCTCGTCAAGGTACGTTCGAGAATTCGATGAGTACATTACAATATGGCTAGTACTGGAATGGAGGAGGATCCTACAGGGCCAATGAAGCACTCCCCGACCCCCTTTGTAGTTACAGCCAGTGGACAAATGCAGAGAGGTGCAAAACATGTAGAACAGAACCCCCTAGTTATTCTGAACTACCTGGATTAAGATGCTAGGTTTATTTGTAGGATTTCTCAGTTGTGCGATACAGTGAGGCTGCGTACGGGAGAACATACAGACCATATATTCGTCCTCCAGTCACAACAAGGGCTCGAAGCCGTCGAACAACACCACCATGGGCTATAGAGATATTTGCCAGTGGTATAAGGTTAACTATGAGCGAAGATTCTAAAGTAAAAACAGAAAGGAAAGAAACCCTTAGAAACACTCAATAGCCATGCTTCACCAGCTCCGCTTCCGTCCACTCCCACAACTTCTCCTCAAGCGCCTCATCCCCCGCAAACTTACTCCCACTACTTTTAATACCAACAGGCCAATAATAAATCCCTGGCTCAACTCCAGGTGCTGTCGCCGCCCACAGTTGGTTCTTGCATCCCTCTGGTATAGTTACCAGAGAAGTCCAACCAAACAACGCGATCAAGACGTTCAAGACCGGACTGTTCATCTTCTCAAAGATACTAGTCTGCACAGTGCCAGGACTAATTGCGACGCTGATGATGCTCGGATACCGCTTCGCGAGCGCCTTCGCGTGAAGAATGTTTGCTAGCTTGGACCGGGCGTACCGCGTCCAATTATTCCCAGTGTTGAAATCGTCGAAGTCTATCCCCTTCGCAGTGGCATGGTAATGCCCGTCAGAGCTGATATTGACTATGCGTACTGCGCCAGTGGGTGCTGACTCTGCGGTCTTAAGCATCCTGGGCAGGAGAAGCTTCGTTAGAAGGGCGTGACCTATGTGATTTGTCCCGAATTGTAGCTCGTAGCCGTCCTTGGTGACATCAGGGGGGAGGTTTGAGATGCCGGCGTTGTTGATGAGGATATCGAGTCTCTCAAAGTCGGCCTTGACCACGGCTACGGCCGCCTCAATGGAGGCGAACGAGGCCATGTCAATCTGAAGTAGTTTGATATTAGAATCTGGCGCTTCAGTTTTGATATCGATGAGCGCTGCCTCTCCTCTCTCTAGGGATCGCGTGCCCAAATAAATGCATTTGGGATTGTGCTTTGCCAATCGTAGCACCGTCTCTTTGCCCAGGCCATTGTTGCCTAGTATCAGTGTTAGAAAAGGATGAACATCAAATTATACGGAAGGCATGCATACCACCAGTTACCAAGATAACCTTCTCAGCAAGATCCTCAATGTCCTGGTCTGGATCAAACTTCACGCTGTTTCCCCACCACCACATGATTTCGATGAATGAAGATTTTGTTAACCCAATGAATTCCCGCCGAAGATGTAAAACGTTAAGACAATAATGAAAGGGGGGAATTCTCCGGGCTGTCACGACATTTATGTGGTTTACACAACGCTACCCACCCACGAGGTGTGCTTGGCCATACCCTAATTTGGAACATTGCATGTCCAGGCTCCAAGGCAAGCAAACAAGGCCTCAAGCCTTACCCATCAATCAACATTAAATCCAAATATTCTCAAATCATAAGACATCATATTCGGTTAGAGCTAAACGTATGCAAGCGGTCGACAGTACTGCACATGACGCTCGACCTTGCTGAAATAACCTACGATCCACTTGAGTAAGCTGACAGTCAGTCACAATGTAGTTAGGGGCTACGAGTAATAGGCAAGGGGGCATTCTATACCCCTCCATGGTCAAACGATCATAAATAGTATCTGATTACAGTAATCGTGCGATGAACACTACACTACACAATATAGAATATCAGATTCTTGTATAAAGGATCTAGCTTCGCTATCAACAAGCATGTGGCCTGATGATGAATGCGAGAAGTACGCCTTGTAAATGCCAATGCAAAGCCCACAATGACCTCTCCGATGCCCGGTAACGCTGCGAGCAGGCTCAAATGCGAGGACGACGCCAAAATAAGAAGCGAAAAGATGATCAACACAATTTACACATGGATCCCCGTGTTGACAAAAACAATGAAGTCCGAAACGCCCATACATGCCCTTACAAGAAATCCATCTTGATAAAGATAAAATGCTCCAAGGGTTCCTCATAAACACTCTCTCGTATTAGGCGTAATAGGGGTCCTCCTTAAGAGGTCGGCCCAGTTGGCTCAGTAGAGCATCCAGCTCTGTCCAGTTTTCGCTCTTCTCAGCAAAGCGGCGATGTTTGCGGGTGACACAATGCTAGGGAATGTTAGTTAACGGCAAAATGACCAAGCATGTCAAAGATATAGTACCTCTTCAAAGTCATCAAACTTATCCATGCAGTTTTCGCAATACCCCGGCTTAGGGTCCCTTTTGACAACCTTCCTCTTCGGAAGAGCCTTGACAGTTCGGCTCTCGTCTGTACGCCGAGCGGTGTTTTCCTGTTCATTGTTCCATCCATCTTCCTCAATGTTACCGAGGCTTTCTTGATTCTTCCGTTTGCGAATCCGTGCTCCTGCGTCGTCCTTAGCGGCGACATTGAGATCTGTCATCCGGTGCGAGCTGGCCAAGCCCAGCGAGGTTGGGCCACTAGTTCGCTCCAAAACCTTGCGCTGCAACCCGTAGACCTCTTTGCTAGTTCCTGCCTTGGCACCCGGTCCGGCTGCAGTGGATGATATCATTTGGGAGCGAATTGCAGAAGTGATGTTCGACTGCTGCAGCCCAGATGCCACCGGTTCACCACCAAAGAGTCTCCCAACACCTGCTCGGCTGACAAAAGCATTCTGTGGTCCTTTCGACGAAGGCTCGTCATCCAGTGACTGAGATGGATCCGTTGCTCGGCTGAATGTGTTTCGCTGCTTCAGAGGAGCTGAAATCGTATTGCGGTTAGCAGTGTTTTCGCCGTCCATTAAAGCTCGCTTGCTGCTCGCTGTCGGGGGCTGCATCCTCGCTTGGCCTGCAGCAGCTGCCCGGGTTCTGGGCACAGCACTTCTCTCTTTCTCCTGCTGACGCTGTTGCCTGGCGGCGTCTCTCTCGGCCTCTCGGCGGCTACCATCGACCTCCGGTACGAATGGGCATTTCCCATTGGCAACGCTCCTAAACTGCGGCCAGTCACCCTGCTCTTTATTCGACACCTTCGCGTATTCCCGAACCATAATAGGCTTTTGCTTCTCGTCGACATCATGGACATATATATACAGCCCCTTAAACATAATCATTTCTTTTGTCGCCACCGTAGGGTCACGGTCCGAAGGGCCATGGATCCGCTCATTCCGCAGTAATGCCGAGAGATCGGCCTCACGCGTGCTCCGGGATACTCCACTGATAGTACCCTGGGTTGTGTTGCTCCTGGTATTGTGGCCGTGGGCAGCCTGCGATCCAGTATCTGTGTCGAACATAGTGGTCATCATCCTCTGGAGTTTCTCCAGCGCCCATATCTTCATGCCCAGTTCTCTAGCACGGTGGAGAACATCGGCATTCCTCCCCTGCTGCCTTCGGATATCGATATCATTATGGATAGCTGACGACTTCCTCGGATTCACTTCGAATGTAAACCTCGATTTCAGAGGTTGCGAATCAATGTGATTTCCGGCTGGCTCGGACGACCGATCCAAAAGTGACGGGTTGATTGTTTGTGGGTGGTTGCTCCTAGAGTTTACATCGGCTGCCGAGGAGTCTCCAGCAGTATCTGTCGGGCTAACAGCCAGTTCGGGGGGGATCGTTCTTGTTGTGACAACATGAGTAACGGCGTTTGAGAAGAACTTCTCCTCTCGCTAGATAGGCATCAGCAAATGTCCATACGGTTGATCGAATGATATGGGGAAACTTACTGCACCAAGAGCTGTAACTTGTTTGGCATATCTGACTCGAACATCCTCCGAGATGCTCTCGAAGTAGAAAACAAACTTGGGGAAAACCTTTCTATAGTGACGCTGCCACTGCCTTATAGTCTCCAGGTTTTCCTCTGAGGCTTTGTCTGCCTTGGCCACCGCTTGCTGGGCTGGCCTTCGTCGTACCGCCTCCAGCTTGCGGTCAAACGCTGTGGGTTGGGCGTGTGCCCTTCGCGAGAAGACCTGGCCTTCAGCTGACTCGGTCAGAGACTGCCGCGGAGGAGTCCTCAGGCCTCGGTGGGTAACTTCCACTATATGTTTCTTAGCTGGAGGTGGTTGCCCATAGGCTTCCTCGCGTTGGACTGTGGCATGCGAGCGTTTGGGCTTTGCTGCTCCAGCCGTCACGCTTCGATATGGTGAGTTGGCGGCATTAGGGTTGCTGGAAAGAGGCACCCTCCTAGTCGACATGCCGGACATAGTATGGGGCGACTTGAGTATAGATACAGCTGCCATAAGAATGTACGTGCAACAGCTCGAGGCAGCTCGAGCTCCAAGGAGTGGGGGTGTTCACGCGACGTGAACACGTCGGAAGTGCCTGCTTCGATGTAGGTTTTACAAAGGCATTGGAGAGTAAAGTAATGCTAGGCCTGGTAAACAATCGAATTACCACGAGAAGGCCAAACAATGAGCGTCGTATTATTAATGTTGCCTCTTCGGATTGAAGTGCGTTTGGGTGGTTGTTGATGGGACTCCCACACACAGAGAGGAAAGCAAGGTGCACGGTCCACCCTATATCCGAACCTAGAAACCATAAACACCAGTAGAGACGCGCTTTGGTGGGCGCAATGTACCTGTGGCAACCATTTTGGATAAGTAAGCAAAGCCAAACCCAAACCAGAAATATGGTTCAGGTAATGCAGTTCAGTTATGCTTCAGTGCTTGGGACAAATGTTTTATGCAACCAACGGCGCTCGAATAAACGATTCAACATAGTTGTTAACTCAAGATACTATACATATATATGATATGCGACTGCGACAATGAGGTTACGGACTGCTGCATTACGGCAATTGAGCCGGGGAGCGTTATGTCCTACTTCATCGAGGACGGCATCATGTCTTGCAGCACGAACGGCGCCATTGCTCACCATTTCACAAAGAGGCCAGTTCCAGCCTCGTAGAGGCTACGCTTCTGTTTCCGCTGCAGAATGCCAGTTTGGCCAGCCTGTGCACGAGACACATCCTCACATACTCGCCGCTGGAGAATGTAAAGGACCTCTTGACATTCCTCGAAACTCTCACTGACTATTTCAGTGACGCCTGGCATATCCGCCCAAGAATACCACGAGAGACGAGCGAAGCTGGCCGCAAGCCTTCCTGAAAATGCTATTGCCATTCTCCCATCCGCCGACCTCAAATACCGATCGGGCGCTGTATTCTACGAATTCCACCAAGAATCCGACTTCTTATACTTGACTGGATTCAACGAGCCAGAGGCTGTTGCTGTCATACAAAAGATAGGCAAGGATGACGATTATATATTCCACCTCTTCCTACGACCAAAGGATGCTGCGGCAGAGCAATGGGAAGGCGCCAGATCTGGGGAACAGGCCGCAATAGACGTATTCAATGCGGACAAGGTACACCATCCATCCGTCTGATTACCAGTCCCAGCAACTCACATACGTCCAGTCTGGAGACATAAAAAATATTTCGAAGCTATTGTCCCCTCTAATAGCTAGCGCCAGCCAGGTATATGCGGAATCATCCAGCACTAAGTCGATCTTTTCAAAGTTCTTCTCCGCCAAGAATACGGCCGAAGACAGCTTCTTTGGATTGCTCAAGGATGCCAATGTGAGACCCATTAGGCCCGTTCTGAATGATCTAAGGGTATTCAAAAGTGAGGCTGAGATTAAAAACATGCGTCTGGCAGGCAAACTCTCTGGAAGAGCTTATACCAACGCCATGCGTCAACAATGGACAAAGGAGAAAGACCTTTGTGCATATCTGGAGTACCAGTTCAAAGCACAAGGCTGTGATGGCTCCGCATACGTCCCCGTTGTTGCAGGAGGCATAAATGCGAATAGCATACACTACGTTCGAAACGATGACGCTCTAGGCGAGAACGATTTAGTCTTGATAGACGCTGGCGGGGAGTACGGCGGGTACATAACGGACATCACCCGCACATGGCCCGTTTCCGGAAAGTTCTCCTCGCCACAGAAAGACCTCTACGAGGCGATCTTGACCGTACAAAGGTCCAGCGTCGCTCTCTGCAGAGAAGACGCGAACCTGTCGCTAGACCAAATCCACCGCCTTACCGAACAAGGCCTCCGAAAGCAACTAGAAGAGATAGGATTTGACCTCCGTGGAAACGCGATGGAGGTCCTCTTCCCTCATCACGTTGGACATTACGTCGGACTTGATGTGCACGACTGCCCTGGTTTCCCACGAAGCGGTGTATTGAAAACGGGGCAGTGCGTCACTATAGAGCCGGGAATATATGTCCCGAATGATGATCGGTTCCCCGCGCATTTCCGCGGTATTGGAATACGGATTGAAGATAGCGTGTGTGTCCAGAAGGACACCGCGCTTGTATTAACGACGGAGGCTGTCAAGGAGGTGGTGGATATCGAAGCACTCCGTGATTAATAGTGTACCAGTAGTGTAACTTATCCGAGAGGATAATTATGTATATTTATATGTATTCCATAGGAAGGAATCCAAAAGGTTCCATCCAATCACCAAAGGAACTAAAATGTGAAACCTGGTCTCAGTGTGAAGTTCGCTCCCAAGGCATCCGACATAAACATCGAACCTCAGCCTCGCGAGCCTCGTCCTCGACGACTCTCCACCATCCACAGCTTCCCAGCTACCAACCAACCACCACGACGACACATACCGCGTCTACAACTCACAAAGGCCCTTACAAAGACTCGAAACTATCGGTTCCAGCATATCTCAAAATGTCCGAGTCAAGTCTCCCCATCCGCTCCTCCCCTTCGCAAGCCACACCCATCCCCGACGACGACCATGAGGCCGACCTGCCCCTCACCATGACCGCCTCGGTCGTCCTTACCTCTCTCCCCCGCGACGCAACCGCGGCACTAAAAGACGCTGGAGCTTTCGACAAACCAAAAGGTTTGTTAACCCCGCCTATAGTCTGCTCCGCATTCTTACAGTCCCGCAGTAACGGTGCGCTTCAAGGCCATCGGGTCCGCGCCTATCCTCAAGCAGCCGGTCTGCCGCATCAATGCGACGCAGCGCTTTGAGGCTGTAGTTGCGTATCTTAGGCGGGTAGTGAAGTGTGGGCCGCAGGATAGTGTGTTTTTGTATGTGAATAATACGTTTGCGCCTTCGTTGGATGAGATTGTTGGGAACCTGCATAGGGTGAGTTCATTATCTCGGAGCAGCTTGTGGCTACTTGAAGCAAACGAACTCGGGACTGCATGGGGCTAATGGGATATCAGTGCTTTCGGAATCAAACGGATGACCAGCTTATTGTTTCCTACTCGATGACACCGGCTTTTGGTTGAGAAATCAGGATTATAAGGGTAATATAGCTATATTCAAGATATGGTGACGCTATGTATGCTTCACTCGACCGCTTGCTACGAAAACGAGATATTCAAAAACCCGCCAAAATCAAAAAGCCAACCGCCTGCTAACTATCACCACCCCATCTACTTCCGGCCGCTCTATTCCGGCCCACCAAAGCTGGACTTGCTAGTATTAGCCAGAACCCGTTCAAACTGCTCGAGCTCATCCTTGGAGATCGGGTATGTGTGCTCTTGCGCCGGGTACGCCCTGCTCTTCACCTCATCTCTATACGACTCTATCGCCCGCTTGGTCTCGCCCCAAACATCTCCATACTGCTTCACGAACTTTGGCAGGAAGCGGCCTGGCGGGAAGTTCCCCGCCATATCGACCTGCACCAGCACCTGACCAGAGCAGCCACTGCCTGCGCCAATACCAATGGTAGGGATATCGAGCCGCTCCGTGATTAACGCCGCGACCTCCGCTGGTACAGCTTCCACAACGACAGCAAAGCACCCCGCTTTCTGGATGGCAAGAGCATCGTGCAGGACCTTGACTGCGCTGGCAGCAGTCTTACCCTGGACTCTGAATCCGCCCAGGGCATTCTGGCGCTGGGGGGTTAGGCCGATGTGGCCGAGGACCGGGATGCCGGCGGCGGTGATCTTCTGGATTGTGGGCACCATTTCCAGGCCGCCCTCGAGCTTGATTGCTTGCATGCGGCCTTCTTTGATGACGCGGATGGCGCTGGCGAGGGCTTGTTCGGGGGAGATTTCATAGCAGCCCATAGGGAGGTCGCCGATCTGGAAAAGAGGGTATTAGCGGTGTACATTTTGTTTTGTGTTTGGTTGCTTTTTGAACTTACTGTGAATGCTGTCTTGGTAGCCCGTGCGACGGACTTGCAGTGGAGGAGCATGTCCTCTAACACTATCTCGCTGGTGTCTTCCATTCCCAGGGCTACCATGGCAAGACTGTCGCCAACGAGGACCATGTCCATGCCAGCATGGTCGGCAACGTGTCCACTGGGGAAGTCATGCGCCGTGATCATGGCTATGGGTTCCCCCTTCTTGCGCATTGAGCGCAGTGTATTTATTGTGACTTTCTTTCTGTGTGACGCCACCGCGGCGCCCATGGGCGAATGCGAGCTATTCCGACATTGTAATTGCGAGAGCAGCGGACGAGCGGCAAATGAAGCTGGTCTGCAGACTCCGGATGATAGAGAGGAGAGAGAAGTGAGAGCACGCGAGCTCAGGATGGTGGTTCGAGACATTGGTTGGGGCTGGCGTTGTGGGGATTGCTTGTGGGAAATGCGGTGATGGAAGGAAGAGGATCTGAGTCAGAGGCTGCCATTGTTCAGGCGGAAGAGTGTTGCCTTTTCATGTCTGAAAAAGTGAAGGTCGTGATAGAGAATGCAGCGCACATCTGGGTCGGCGTGGAGAGGGAGAGATTATTTCGGACAAGTCCCCAGTTTACCGAGGCTGGGGTATGGTATGTCCGAACCGGCGGCTTATGAAATTAATTCCTGATCAGTAAACAGTTTTACTCTGCTATGTGGTTTATGTGAAGTGTTATGGTTTGCTCTGATCTATTCATATTGTAGAGTATTCAAATATATCAATTATCATAATGTTATAACCAATTTACACAGTTATTTCTATGTTGCACGCCACATCCTGCTGTGGACGTTGTTGGTGGGATAGGGTGGGATGTGGTGGGATGGAGAACACCGCCGCTTACAAGGGTACGGAGGTACATACACTACGACTTTCCTTTTGGTGAACTCAACTCAACGAACCCCCACCAATGCCCCACCAACGAACCAGATCTCGTGCCTCAAAATGCGCCAAGCCATACCCGATCTGTCTGGTGAAGTGACGAGACATGGGCTTTCACAGCCAGTGACACGGTACCTGGGTTTCCATACGTAACCTGACCATCCCCTCATCTTTCAGACTTCAGACCCCTTCATACCTTCATACTACATACTACTGCATACTGGCATACTTAAACTTCAGCATATTCCCAGCTTCGTAGCCCTATTTCGACTTTATCGCATCGTACCTCGAGAATCTAGCGTGTACCCTTCAAAGCAGGGTCTCACTCAGCAGTCCGTCAGTGATTCACCAGAAATTCGCCTTCCACCCGGTCCAGATCGAAATCATCCTTTGAGCGCATAACAACTCCGCCACTGCACTGCGATCAAAGCGACGAAGAATCTAAACTATACGGAGGAGACGAGCAATATACTGCCTGGCCCAAGGAAGGAGTCGAATAGCTAGAACATATATCCCCCAAGGCCGTAAACTCAGGACAAGACCAGGACCAGCTGTGGGTGGCGGTGCGGCCGAAGAGCAAACGCCAAGATGAGCAGCCCCAGGAGGAGGATAGAGACTGATGTGAGTTGGCATGATCAAGTACTATCGTTGTGTCCCTTGCTGACTTTGTATGATAAGGTTATGAAGTAAATGCGCCTCCTCTGTCCCACCGCCTTCGCTACGACTGTCCAAGCGACACTCACTTATGCACACCTGCTAACATACTCGCAGGATGTACGAACCTGCTCTGTGAATCGACATGCCCCTTGATAATACTGACGCTTGGTGATAGGCTTATGAGCGACTATGAGGTTACTCTTGTCAATGACAACAGTGAGTCTTTATCTACTACCCCGCATTGGCACCGCCGCCCCTCTCAACCGACATCGCTGACAATTTATAGTGTACGCGCAACCATCCATGACTTTCCAACTCAGAATACTCGACTTACAAGGCACAGGCAAGAATTCTATGTCCGCTTCAAGGGACCCGAAGAAAGTGAGTTCTACCCATGCAATCCCTCCATTCGCCCGAGACAACATCCTGACACCAACCTACAGCCCCATTCCAAGGCGGACTCTGGAAGATCCACGTCGAGCTACCCGACCAATACCCCTACAAGAGCCCAAGCATCGGCTTCGTGAACAGGATATTCCACCCCAATATCGACGAGCTGTCAGTACACCCCCCGTAATCGTCGTTACTGGGCCAAAACTGATGGCGGCAAATAGATCCGGCTCTGTCTGCCTCGACGTCATAAACCAGACCTGGTCGCCCATGTTCGATATGATCAATATCTTCGAGGTCTTCCTGCCGCAGCTCTTGCGTTACCCGAATCCTACGGATCCGTTGAATGGTGAGGCTGCGTCGTTGCTTATGCGCGAGCCGAAGACGTATGAGGCGAAGGTCAAAGGTACGCTGCGCTTTTCCACTATATCACACCAATATATTCGTCGCGGCGCAAGTCGCAGTGTGGACAAGCTATTAACACACCCAGAATACGTCTCCAAATACGCCACTCGCGAAGCCATCGACGACAACGGCGCCGAGTCCGACGACGATGACGACATGTCCTCTGTCGCCTCCTTCGGCTCCGACGACAACGACGAAGCAGCCGGCACGATGGAGGAGCTCTAGACGTGGTGGGATCTCTCCTGCACGATTGTGTGTTTTTTTATTCTATTTTTCTCGCAATGCATTATTGCCAGGTGTTTTGTTAGGTTTTTGAGTTTTTATGACACCCCCTAATCGCTGGATTTTACTGATTTAACGGGTTGGCGTCTTTGTGGGTTGGGCGAGCTGGGCTTTGCTTTCTTTTGCAGAGTATGCATGGGTTTGGTATGGCGAGTTTGTTGGAGGGATAGTTGGTTGCGGTGACTTTGTAGGCGGATTGGTGGTAGATAAATTTGATGAGAATCTCAACTTGACATGTTCATAATTTCTTCGGGATTTTCTTTGGGGTCTAGTGAAGATATAACAATTACTCGGAAAGTATATTTGAGTGGTAGTAGTGTATTGACTAATGTATTCCCTACGGTGGTTTGTTATTGAATTGATGATCTAAACATTTTTACCAGGTCGAATATATAAACAAAATATTTAATTTACCATCAATATATAAGGTATTTCACAAGCGAAGCGATCACACAAGCGAAGCGATCACCAAAACACTAAAATTGACTATTACTGCCTACTACTACACCACCACCCTATATAATAACCCTTATTCAATCGTAATTGATTCCTGGCGCCTCTCGCACGTACGGGCATTATGTCCTATTTTCTCACATCGGCCACAGCGCTTCTGTTGGCCCTTAGAGCCTACCTGCCGACTACTCTCACTTGCTACCTCTGTACGGACTTAAGCGTTAACCTTAGCACTCTAAAGGATATCCTCTACATCTCGTACAGAG